AAAGTCACTGTGAAAGGGGAATCAAAATGTGCTTTTCTTCCTTAACGTGACCTGTTTCTGAGTGAAACAGAATATTTTGGTGGGAAATATTTATGGGCGGGACATGATTTTATCCAAATCAAAATCAAATCATGTTTGTCGCATCACATTAACACAGGTGCGTAGGCCAGTGACAATCTTAGGTGCGTATCCCCCTTGTAGTACTTAAATACAAAAGTATATATAAAGAAATACACATTAGACTCACATTATACACATTAATATACACCAGTATTGCACTATTCCCAATGTACAGTTTTGTGCTGCACAATAGTATAAAGTTATGAAATAAAAGCTATGATATGTACAGCTGCACACATTTCTATATATGCAATTAGTGAGTCTGAGGTAGATAAATGAGAAGCAGGGTATACAGGGATAGAATATTGATTTTATATATATATATATATATATAATATACATATGTATGTATGTATGTATGTGTGTATGTATGTATGTGTGTATATATATATATGTTTGTGTATAGTATATATATATATATATATATATATATATATATATATATATATATATAAAATCTCATCATCATCATGATGATTCAGAAATTCCATTGAGATTTGATTGGCTTGTGAAAAGCCAGTATTCTAAAACTTCATGCGGGTGGGAAAAGCATGGGATATAAATAAACACAATTTGGGCCAATTTTATTTCATTTTATTTTTTTTACATTTTTAACTGGAAATTGTCCACAGATTTTTAGGAAAAAATGCCAAATTGAAGTTTATTCCCATATGTTAATTTTTACTTAAATCAACTTTGACATATTCAAAGTATAATTGGTTAATAATTTTTCCTACACGATAACATAAACATCAGAAGGTGTTTTAGAGTCACTACACTTGTCTCAGAGATTAAAATGAAGTAATAAGATCTTTGTCTTTTAAATGAAATATGATGAGTCGTACTTAATATGACCAAGAACATGAATTGACTGGTCAGATTTGATTTAATGTTGACCTTAATGTCCATACTTTTCCTCTATCTGAACCCGTTTATCATCTTTTACTTTCACTTTGTGTTTCAGGTCTGTTGGAACCAAAGAAGACTCCTCACAAGAACTGCCTGTGAAATCAGGCTCGAATGATATGGAACCTCTCATTGCTGAAGTGTGGAGTGAAGAACCTGAGTTTCAGCCGGGAGAGAAGGAAGTGGCAGAATGTGACGATGATCCGATAGAAAACGGAGAGAAGCCGACTGAGGCAGGTGACCAAGAAGCTGAAGGTAAGACAGAGACCATTGAGTCCGCAGCCAAGGACGGCTGCGATGTTGAAGCGGCTGAAGATGCCCCACCTGCTTTGGACACAGGAGCGTCCCTCAGCTCCCCTGGCTCTGAGGCAGATGGGGGCACTGTGACTGTAGATGACTTCCTGAATAAAACTGACAAAGCGGAGTCTGTGAGCGTTCACTCGCCTCTGGAACCTCTCACTCCGTCCAAGGTTTTAGAATGTGATGCTGTAGAGAGTGTGCAAGAAACGAAGGAGGACAGTTCACCTAATCATGAAACAAAGGTGGAGGAGGAGCCCTCCGAATCTGGACCTGATAATCCCCTGGAACCTTCCGCCTCGGAGTAGAGTCGAGCAAGGATGCTACAGAGCGCCTCCGTTTTCACTTTTTACACCTTTTCCCTCTTTTTAATTTTAATCTAGCTATGAGGATTATCGAGCAAGTCGACTGTTGAAGACTTTTGAGTGATCTGGAGCGTTCCTCCAGTCTTTTTTTTTGTGTGAGATCATGAAAACATGCTGTCTGTGGTGATTAAAGAAGCTTGACTGTGTTACTGTACTTCAATACAAAGTATTGCCTTCCATCAGAAATCATTCTCCATTTCAGTGAATGGACTGAAAAGACTGGGAAATCACATGTATTACCTAATATACACCCGTTTCTTACCCTTTTGCCCCAATTATGACTTTTGTTAACGTAGGGCTGTTAACTGGCACACAAAGAACCGGAGACAATTACCAACTGTACCTTTTTATTTTGTATTTTAGATGAGAACGTGACTGAGTGTATAGTATTATACTACATCGTACGCTGTACTTGAGTGATAAAAACCCTCTCAGAAAAGGAAACATGCTTTATCTTCGTTTTCAGTGTAAGATATTCTTTTTATATGCTTGTTTTCAATAGGAATCCTTTAAATCTGAGGTTCTTCCAATCTGTTATCTTGTTATAACCATTCTCTCACTCTCCCATGGACAGAGGCTAAATGGGTTTTAGAGGTAAGGCTCCATATAATGCCCTTATTACTAAATAAACCTTCATTTAAAAAGGAGTTGAACATCTTTTCTTTACTTGCATTCAATTAATGAGCAGCGTGACCCCCTTTGTGTTGAGCACTGATGTGTGCTTTGCAGCATCAGGTTTGGAGGAGGCAGCGCGCTTCAGAGATGTGTGCACAGTGAAACAGTGACAGGTGTGACAGCTCCAGATGTTTTGTAACTACGGAAAGAAAATAATCAGGCGTCTAAGTGACGTTTTCACACTAAAATGAAATGTTTTGTTTTTGATCTTGCTCTGTATCTTCATATTTTTTATTGCACTCTATTCAATACTGACAACCATACACTTAAATCTCTCACAACTGACCAACATACAAAGGATTTTAACCCTTGTGTGGTGTTCGCGTCTGTGGGACCTATTTTTTTAATGTTTACCAAAAGAAATGATGCGATTTATTATTATTTCAACCTCAGATTCTTTGGTCTTTGCTCACTTTTTGTGAAGAACGTATAAAATAACCCATTTTCAGTGTCTTCACTCTGTTCACCCCCCACACATTTATATTACACATGTGGTGTTGGGGTGAACCTGTGGGGAATAAAAGTGTGGAGGTGCTGTGTCCCTTCACTCTGTTCTCCTCCTACATGGCCTGCTATTAGTGTATGTATGTGTTTTTATGTGTGTGTGTTTGTGTGTGTGTGGGTGGACACCATGGACAGGCTGCTGACTGGCTACAGCTGCTAAAGGAGAACCCTACGCTGGACATGATATTTTAAACATCTGGTATTTTTATACAAATTGTTATCGCTCTATTGATTTTAAAAACAATAATGTGGTGTGTCCAGCAGATCACTGAGTAACAAACACATCAACACCACACAAGGGTTAAGAAAGATTTCCTACGTAAGTCCACAGGGGTGTCCAAAGTTTTCTGAATTTGTCCGTTTGATGACGTAGGTCGTAGGTCAGTTTTTCCAAGGGAAGCAGAGTTGCAGCTTGGGAAAGCCGCTGCTCAACAGGTGTGGGAGAAGGACTGGCCCATCAAATTAGGATTCATATTTTTTTGCCAGAAATTAAAACATTACGAACAAAAATTTGCCATCAGTCAAAAATATGTTCTGCTCATTTTCCCAAAAGACTGGACTTCTGACACTGTGAGAGAGATTTTCTACTGTGATGTTTACTCTGTTCCAGACAATGCCAGCTTTTACACTGCCTGCCTCCGTGTTTTTAAGGTTTCTGTCTCGAAATAAATCTCGCGAGTGACGGTGCGTGTCTTAGCTAAATGGCGCCATCTCGTGGTCTCTTCTGAAAACGCAGCATGCAGGAAACGAACCGGTTTGAAAACAGGGATTTCTAAGGACTTAAGATGAAATGTAGGCCACATTCTCCATGATAACCCATCTCGAAAATTAGACCACACGTTTCAAATGCCCATCTTCATAATCGCTCACAACTACTCGTCAAGGTTGTGACCTTATAGATACATCAGCCTGTCCGGTACACACCTTCCCCAGTGTGTTGGGGGAGTCAGTAAAGGACCTACCGTTGGATTATCGGTTATATTAGCCGTCTATTAAAGGGGGATATGATTTCTGCATAACTAACATATAAATTAAATGTAAGCAACACAGTGTAAACCGTTAACTGTAGAGAAGCTTAGCAACTAAGATTTCTTTACAGTAGTGATGCCAGAAACAGAGTCACGTAAATACAGCCATTTATTTTCTATCCAAAATGACCAGGAGACCTACACGCATCTTCTGAGTGTTTATATGTAAGGCTGATAATGGCAAAGAAGTGGTAAATGTGGAAATAAAACATTAGGAGGGACTATTGTGTCTTACAACACCTGTAAACAGGTTTTACAAAACCTCAATAGACATTAAAGGGGAACTCCACCCATTAAAAAAATCTACATAATTAAATGATTGAGATGTAAACAGACATTCAGAGAGGTTTGGTGTGAAATGCTTCGTTCTAGAGAAACTTGACGAGTCAGAATTATTCACAGTGGTGGTGACAGGAGCCAGACACCCACCTCTAAAAGCGTCCTCACAGAAAGTTATTACATGAAATGGAGATATATGCTGCCTCATTATGTGACACATAGTTTTGCAATAGTTTTGTGATAAAATTTTGGCTTAAAATGATCAATTTATTTTAATCCATTCTTGGCGGAGGGTTACATGCCGGGTGTTGTAAGGCAAAATAGTCCCCAAAGAAAACTTAGTTTTTCAGATTTGCCTCTATTTTTACCATCATCAACATAAACATTACATATAAAAACTCAGAGGACACGTGTAGGTTCACTGGTAGTTATGGATAGTAAAAGGCTATATTTGAGCTGTAGAGAAATCTGAGACTGTAAGTTTCTCTACAATGAACCGCTTCACATCAAACCACTTTAAACGACCCTGTTTACATATTCAACACCTGAAATTTTGAAAAAATGGTGGAATTCCCCTTTAAACACTTCTGGCGTCTGGTTGTCTTCACCTCTGCTGAGAACAAATCCGACTGTGCAGCGAAGCGTTTCACAGCAAACCACTCTGAACGACTGTGTTTACACCTTAACCGTTTAATTATGCATCACTTTCTAAAGTCGGTGGACTGTCCCTTTAAACTGCGCTTCTGCGGACTCCTAATGCGCGTTCGCGTCCACAGCGCGTGCACGTCTCCAGCGCTCGCTGCTCATTGGCCGGGCGCTTCCCAGGAAGTGACGCGTTGGGTAAAGATGGCCAGGCTAGTTTGCTAAAATGGGAAACTTGCTGCGTTCGTGTGTTTAAAGCCGGAACGGCTCAGTGTTAGTTTAAGTTAGATACCGGGTTCTGTATAAATCAGGCAGTATGAGAAGAATGCGGCCTACAAAATGTCAAAAAGTGTTTGGGCTCTCAGTGTTGCGTAACGGGACGGTAGCGTTGTAGCTAAGCTAAGCTAAGCTAAGCTAGCGGTCGCCGGTAGGTCGCTGTCGCCGCTCTTAAAAGTCCCTCATTTATTGGTGTGGAAATAACAGCCGCTTGTAAAGATGTGGAACTTAATGTGTGTAAAAGTGCTCGAACACGGTCAGTCGGCGCTGAGAGGACTCTGCCGGACTTGTGTTAGAGGAAAGTTAGCAGCATGTGTGGGTCAGAGTCACCCGTCAATCACGCAGAGGAGCAGGGGTCTCTCACAGCGGCCCCCGTGGAGAGTGCTGTTCTTTGGAAGTGATGATTTTGCTGTTGAATCTTTAAAACTGCTTCATGCATCTCGGTAAGGCCGTTATTTGTTGTTTTAACCCGGGCTAACTGTGTTTACAACGGCCAAAGGTTTAAACGCGTGTCTGTTCACGCCTTCATTTAATGATACGGTCAGGTCCGTAAGGTTTGGACAGTGACAGTTGGTGTAATTTTGCCTTTGTACACCACCACAACGGGTCTGAAATGAAGCAGTCAGGATGTGATTACAGAGTAGACTTTTGGCTTTAATTGGTGGGATTTAACAAAAATATTGCGTTTGTGTTTTATGAATTACAGCCATTTTTACATAGTTCCTCCATTTTCACAGTCTCACATGTTTGGATGCAAATCCTTTGCAGTCAGTGACTGCCTGAAGTCTGGAACACATGGACATCACCAAATGTAATGCTTCCTCCCTTGAGATGCTTTGCCAGGCCTTTTCTGCAGCTGCCGTCAGTTGCTGCTTGTTTGTGGGTCTTTCTACTTTGTTTTGTCCTCAGTGAGTGAAAGTCCTGCTCAGTTGGGTTGAGGTCAGTCGACTGACTCAGCCATTTGACAACATTCAGCAACCATCACTTTTAACGTGGGTGATTCTGAATAAGCTAAAACGAGGAGTGATACATGGAGTAAACAGTCTGTCATTCATTATAAGTGCGCATATATAGTTAGAAGAGGGGAAAATAATCCAGCCACAATACATTTTCAACAGTCTTTAAAAACAACCCCTTTTTGCCCTGTTTGTATTTGTGTGAAATGACAATTTAAATAGAAAACAGTGAATATAATATATTTAAATGAAGTTATTCTAACTCAAAATATGCTAAAAAAAGATCTAACTCAAAATGGCTGACTTACTATCTCAATCATTTCTAAGTTAATTTGAATTTTTCAGATTAAGTTACTCAAACCTTCTGTAGCATTTAAGTTGTGTTAACTTAATTCTTTCATTAAGATGTGCAGTTAGGTTTTACAGTGTATGTTTTGGGTCATTATCTATCTGTTCTGTGAAGCGCTGTGGTATCAGTTTTGCAGCATTTGACTGAATATGTGCAGAGAGTTTAGCTCTGTACACTTCAGAATTCATCCTGCTACTTCTGTCATCAGTCATATCATCAATAAACACCAGTCACCCATTTCCATTGACAGCTATGCATGGCCATGCCATAACATTACCTCCACCATGTTTGACAGATGATGTGGTATGCTTCGGATCGTGAGCCCTTCCTTTCTGTCTCCATACTCCTCTCTTCCCGTAATTCTGGTGCAAGTTAATCTTGGTTTAATCTGTCCAAAGAATTTTGTTTCTGAACTGAGCAGGTTTTTTAGATGTGTTCCAGCAAAGTCTAATCTGGCCTTTCTGTTGTTAAGTGTTACCAGTGGTTTGCATCTTGAGGTAAATATAGGTTTTTCTTCACTGTAGAAAGAATTCTGCGGTCATCCACGTTAGTTGTTTTCTGTGGTCTTTTGGTGTTGCTGAGCTTGTCAGTGCATTCTTTCGTAATTCTTTCTTTAAGAATGTACCAAACTGTTGATTTGTCCAACTGTTGATTTGTCCACTACTAAAAGGTTTGCTATCTCTCTGATAGGTTTGTTTTGTTTTTCCAGCTTAACATTTGGCCTCTTAACTTGCATCAAGACCTCTTTGGACTGTGTATTGAGTTCCTTATGAACAGCTACCAAATGCATATTTAATACTTAGAATCAACTGCAGACCTTTCATCTTCTTAATTTGTCATGAAATAACTAGAGAACATGCCACACCAGGCTGAGAAACTGCTTATCAGTAACTGTCCAGTTACTTTTGAGCCTGTAAAAAAAGCATGGCTGTGAATTCTAAATGGTTAATGCATTATTTTTGATAAACCCTTTGAATTAAAGTTTAAAGTTTACACTCCACATCTTGATTGCTTCATTTCAAATCCATTGTTGTGGTGTGCGGTGGCAAAAATGGTCAGTTTCCAAATACTTATGCACCTGACTGTAGATTATCCTGCATGTAGATTGCATTCAAATAGACCTGGTTTGATTGATTATTTGAAAGAGTGCAGTTTTGTTCTGAAACGGATGACGTCAGAGGTTCTGGACAAACGTGCTTGCTTCCGTTTGTCAATGGTATATTTCCAGGTCCTTGTATTTGCTCTGTTTTGGAAGCAGCCCTGTGTTCCCTTGTTGTAATTTTGGAAACAACTCTGTGTTCCAGGACACTGTTTCCTGAAATCTTCTTGGAAAACAACTTTAATCACCTTGCTTTAGGGCCACGTTTCCTCGACATAACAATAAGACTTACTCCCGTATCTCAGATATACTTATATGTTAAATAGTAATAATTTAAAGTAAGTGGACATGCTGCTTCCAAATATATTCCTTTAGTAAAGCACACCATGGTTGTACCACGTTTTGTGATGGGCGATATTAATATTTACATCAATAACATTGCAAAACATTAATTGCCTACTAGCCTGACTGTTAAGAGCCAGAGCATCTGTTCTTTGGAAGATATGCATTAAAAATCATTCTCTTTTCAGAAATCAAGTGAAGAACTGAGAAATCATAAAAATCACATGCTGTTTACGTAAGAATTCAATGCTGAAAAACTAGTATTATTAATTGGGGATGCAGTGATGTTATTGTGGGCCAATGTCAATATCCAATATTTTTCGTGCACGTGTCTACTGAAACCGATACATAAACCTTTATAAAATGTAGAAATTGTCAAGAAGTTTTGCATGACAGGCATTTATCTCCAAATGCAGTAAAAAAAAAACAAAAAAAACAAAATGCAGATGTTCAGCCTAAACATTCTACCTGACTGGAGTACATTAAATACGTCACCAAATGTCATACAAATCTAAACGTCTAATGCAAATAGTTTTTTAAGCAATTATCTACACATTGTTATGAATTCAATACCATTGGGTGTGTCTGTTATTAATATAGTGCATTTGGTACTGACAGAGATTTTGAATAAATGCTCCCTTAATCAGTAATCAAATGGATTAGATATTGTAATCAATAACCAAATAAGTAGTATTGGCTAACAGCAAATATTAATTCTCTCACAAAGGGAAGGCCTTAGTCTGTCTGCATAGGAGATTCTAGACACTATTAAGCCCCTGGGCTCACAGAGAGGCCTGTGTGTACCTGCTGACCCAGTGAAGAGAGGGACAAGTTGACCTTGAAAGGTAAAGCAGTGTGGTAAAAACCGGTTGAAACCAGTTTTAGGAGTGAGCGCAACATGTAATGGCCAAGTTCATGGACGAAGAGATGCACCTATTAGAGAATGAGCTAATATCAAGATTTGAGAAGTAAGGGGGGATATCGAATCACCCCAGATAAATGGTTTATAAACTGTTGTTTGGAACACTGTATTTGCGCAGACTCTGTGCCACTTGATGCTGAAATAAAGAAGAAGCCTTTTTCCCTCTTTCCACAAACTCAGCGACTCTTTTCTTTTTGACATCTTTTGAGAACTTGGACTTAAAACAGTGTTATTAGTGAAAGTGTTAAGCCGGTATTAAAGGATTTCTTTTTTATTCATAATATTATGTTGGAGGCCTGGGGTTGAAGGGGATAGCCTTTGGTCCCGACTTATTAAGTGGAAAAAAAAACTTACTGCTTTTGCTCTGACTTTTAAAGATAATTATTTTGATGTCAGTATTATTATAATTATTTATTTATTTTAAATATTTCACCTTCCAGAGGAGATGGTGCTGTGGTGGATATGCTTGAGGTTGTTACACTATCCAGCAGCGTCCCCGTACGAAAATATGCAGAGGAGCACAAACTTCGAGTTCATGACTGGCCAGATGTGGACTTCAGTGGTCAGTTTGATGTAGGAGTGGTGGTGTCGTTTGGCTGCCTCCTGCAAGAGCGAGTTATCAACAAACTGCCGTAGTAAGAAATCTTTTCAGTTTGACAAGCACACATGATAAGGTTCCTGCCTTTAGCTCAGGTAAGTGGAACATACAAATCTCAGTGATGTCACTGTCTCTCTTTATTTCAGTGGGATTCTCAATGTCCACCCTAGCCTTCTGCCACGCTGGCGGGGGCCAGCACCGGTTTTTCACACAGTTCTGCATGGAGACAAATTCACTGGAGTGACCATCATGCAGATCAGGCCAAAGAGGTACATATTCACTCTCTTTTGTGAACAGTTCTAAGCTCTAGATTGTGTACCTTTTTAATATGTGGTGTTTTGGTTTTATTTCAACGATATGGTTTTGTTTTAGGTTTGACGTGGGTCCGATACTCAGTCAGGAGCTTTACCCAGTTCCTGAAAAGATCACAGCGGAGGAGCTGGGAGCCTCTTTAGCTATTGTGGGAGCTCAGCTGGTAAATACTGTTCACGTATGACATTTTAATTGCTGATGAATGTACACTGCCGTGTGAAAGTTGGGAATCACTTGCCATATTAACAATGTTTGTTCTGTTTATAGACAAAAACTTTTACAGTGTGGCCTAAAATATGACAAACTAAAGGTGTTTTATTCAATATTTCAATAATTCATTGAATGATAATTACATTACTGTAAAAATGATAATTAGATTATATTTATATGAGTTTATAGTAAAGTCAGCTGCTTTGAGATTAGTTCTCCACTTTTGAAATATGATGAATTATTTGTAAGTATTGAAAAATATATAAGTATTATTTTTATTATAACCTAATTCTTGCTATTATATAACTTTTTGTAGTCATTTTGGAATCATCTGCAGCTGCATCTGTTTTTCATTCTAAAGTATAACTAAAATTTTAGCATTTTTATTTTAAGACTTTCAAGTATCTACTAGTTATTTGAAAGCTCTGAAGCCCCTACAGGACTAACATTAAAATTGGGTGTACATTTATCTGAAACCAAATTGGTTTCATGTTAAACATTGATTACAAACCTGTAAACAGTGATTCCAAACTTTTGAACAGTAGTGTCTGGTACTGTATAATTAAGCTCGTTCATCACTGTTAATCTTTCTGTAAGTTATGTACATTAGGAACAGAGCGGTGTGATGTGGACAAATGCCATATTCTGATTATTGTTTATTGCAGTATATTGTGATTGTGATATGACTTACTGCAGTGTTTTGCTATCACAGTGAACCCCTGATGTTATGTGGTTAAGGATTGACCTGCATTATTTTTGACTAATTATTTACTTTTATTGTATCGTGTGATGGCATTGATTCATCCTGATAGACGTAGAGCATCTGTGATTGGCCGGGATGTTCATAGCACACAAAAACATTCATTGATTGATTAGAGTCTCATTTGCATATTACAGTTTTCTGCCATATCAGTATTGCAAAGGCCAGTATCACGATAACATTAACAAATGAGCTATTGTGTAGCCTTGAAAGCAGATTTTTGGCTTGAATGAATGAGGATGACATAGATAACTTACTTATATAAAGTTTGATTTCTTTTTTCAGTTAATAGACACACTGAGAAACCTTCCAGAAAGAATAGCAAATAGAAGAGAGCAGGCCAAAGAGGGCGCAACATTTGGTAAGAGCACACCTCTTCGTATTCAAAGTGCATGTTCTTAAACAATTGTTCTTACCAACAGTTCTGTGTAAAAGGCAAGAAACAATAACCATGCCTTTTTGTTAGCTCCTAAAATCAGTTCTTCCTTGAGCTGGCTTATTTGGGAAGAGCAGACGTGTGAGGAGATTGGTCGACTGTTTCGCGCCATAGGTTCTCGGGTAAGGCTCTTCAAGGGCAGTTGGATGAATCTGTAAATGGTGCATGATGATGGTTACAATAATCATACTAATAATAATAATATTAATAATAATTTGATTTCTGCATGTACAGATTCCTCTGAGAAGTATTTGGATGGGCAGAACTATCAAACTTCTAGACTTTGTTGGTGAATGCCAGCCATTCTTAGGTAAGGTACAATATTGTTAGTACCCATCAACCCCTCAGTGCTTTTGTGCTATACATCAGATCATATATTATTACAGTGTGACCAGAACTCATGATCTGATGATGATGATGATGATGATGATGATGATAAAAAAGCTTCTTCCATTGTGCCTGAAAATACTATAACTACGGAAACTTTGTTAGAAAACATGAATATACCTGCTAAAAAAAAAATGTTTGTCAGACGTTATTCTTCAAGAGAGTTATTAAGGGGACTATATCCTACATTTTCCATGTCCATGTATACAATTTGTGCTGGTTTATGTACCAAAAATAATCTCAATTCATTTTTACACAATCAACCAACCTTTTTTATCCCTTAGAATTAAATAGGCTGTTTTTGTTACTGCCCCCTTAAGACTAATGTATGCAAATTAATGTATTGTGCCTCATTCAAAAAGCAGTTCGGGCTGAAACACTCATAATTTCAGCATGAGTAGGTGGGCTCAACTGCTGTAGGCTGAACATTGAATTCAAAATAGGCTGTATTTGCTGCTTAGCCCTTATGTATTGACAGTATTGACTGGGTAAAACTTTTACACGATTCACATTTTACATCAAACTCTGACAGTTAAGAACAGTGAATGAAACATGTTTTCCCGTTATATGGTCCATTTAAAGTGAAAATTTGTTTATTTTTCCTATCTTTCTTTTCTTTTTTTTTTTCTGGCAGGCTCACATTCTGCTGCAGTCCCAGGGTCCATCCTTTATCAAAAGGAATCAAACACACTGCTAGTCCGTTGCAAGGTGAAGGAGCACACACTGCGTAATGATTTCAGAACAGTATTGAAAAAAAAGATGTTCAAAACAGTGTAATGTAATTTTAAACTGCTGCTGATGTGCCACTCCTTTTTTCCAAGGGCCTTTCATTTTCCGTCTTTCATTAAAACCACTGTCACTGATCAAAACTAGGCATCTGGGTGCATCCGGTCAAAGTGGGTGGGGGAGGGGAGGGGCTTATACCATGCATGCACCTACTCTCAAATGACTGGGCTTTTTTCATGTACAGACTGTAAAGGGTTGCAGTTTTTTTGTTGCTTCTCAAAGCATCGACATGTTAGAAGCACTGAAAAAGAGCGCAGTGTAAGATCTTTCTTACCCACTGCTATAAAGCTCTACAATAAGGCTCCTTACTGCAGAGATGGTACTGATCTCCTGCTGTCTGAACTGTGCTGTATCGCATCACTATATCACCTCTCCTGTTAATACACACTGTGCAATATATCATTACTGCTGCTGTAATGACACTTTCACTGCGCACTTTACACTGTAATATTGCTGCAACTCCTAGTTATGTCTATACTCATTGTGCTTTTAGACCACCTCATACCACTCAGTGCCTGCTATCATGTAAATACAACAAATCTGTCTTATATGCTGTGTAAATATGCAGATAGGTATACTTTCATTTCTACTCTCGTATACTTTAACCTTTGTCTATTTTTTATTTCTGCCTAACGTGTGTCTATTTTTATTTCTATTTTTTATTTTTTAGTATATGTAAGTTTATGTGCACTTATGTCTTGCTACTGAAACACTGCAATTTCCCTTTGGGATCACTAAAGTTCTGTCTATATATCTATCTATTTAAAAGGAAAAGTCTTCATTAGAGCTTCAGGAAAAATCATATTGAATATGAAAAAATGTATGCAGTAACACCCCAGATTTTTTAGTAGAAATCTGTGGTGTCATTTAGCTAGCATTACTCCATTTATACCCGTGTATATTTTGGGTCTGAAATATTATATTATTCTGTTTTCCTTTGCTTTCCAGGATGGCTGGGTTGGATTCAAAGCCGTAAAGCTGAAGAAAAGATTATCTGCAGCGGATTTCTATAATGGATATCTTCACCAGAGCTTTTTAAATAAATCGCCGTCCCAGAAGAGCTGTCAGTTTCAGAGCTACAGAGAGAGAACTCAGCATTTTCCGAAAGGACAGAGTGCTAAACCCTTATTACTGAATACAGGAGTCCATTAAACTCCAGTTGTGACTGCAGATGAGAAACTGTATACATTTTTTATAATACTTTTGCAAATGTTTGTCTGTTTTAAGACAGTGAAATATGCTGCTTTAGTATTGTACAGTACTGATTCAATGTTGTAAACTTAAAGTCCTGTATATATGCTAATGAATGTGGTTATTTTAATGAAGCGTTTGCTTGGAACGTGTGCAGTCTTTATTATTGTGGTCTACTTTGATGTTCAGCCAAAATACTTTCCTCAAATTACAAGAGTGCCGAAGTCTGTTTATTGTACTACACTGGCTTCCTCCGATGGAAAAACACCAAAAAAAGCAAACGGAAAAATACACCTTCCAAGAAGCTGCCTTTACAAAAAAAAGAAAACCTGACCCTTTATTTTCATATATAGTGATTTCGTAGTTGGGTGTCCCGATCTAGACATTATACTGCTGTATTGCTATGTGTCCTCCAGTGATGGCCCACAATGCACTTGTAAACACTGAGGATGGGTGATGCCAATAACTTCCTTTTGAACCCAATTCCGAGTAAAACAAGGCTAAAATCCTGATACTGAAACTTTTAAAAGGGGATGTTCTTTCTACAGTGAAAACCAGCGAAAACATGGCCAATAAAATTATATTTGAAAGGCTTTGCTTTAGTTTTAGTTCCTCACCTAACTGATCAAAAGTGTCTTAGAATGTGCTGCACCCATTCCCAATTTGGACAAGTTGCCAGTTACTCTGAACGGTAATTTGACCAGGGGCCCCCAAACTGGTGCATATTGCCATATAGGGGCAGTTTCCCAGACACAGATTAAGTCTAAGCCTAGACTTAAAAGATTTCTCAGTGGTGGTTCACCACTGAAACTACAATTTATTCCAAGACTAGGCTTAATCAAATAACACAGCTCATAGATTTGGCACACCTTGACCTGCCATTGCATCATGTTTTCACACAAAGAAAACATTGTATCTCCAAAATGGTAACTTTACAGGAGAAGGAAAAAACCTACTTGACATTTAATGTAAGTCAATGGAACCAGACTACCAAGTCATTTTGGGTTGGTTTTTTTTTGGTCCGTTCATCACAAAATTTACACACACTGTAAAGAGCAACAGGCATTTTTAAAGTATGTCAAAAACTGAAGAAACGACAAAAATGGTTACAAGGTTTGTGTGTGTGTGTGTGTGTGTGTGTGTATATATATATATATATATATATATATATACACACACACACACATACGTATAAATATACGTATATATGTATACATATATACATATACACATATATACATATATATATACACATGTATGTGCATATATATATGTATATATGTATATTTATATATATATAAAGCATGTGTATATGTAAAGGTATAAAACAGAGATCATATATAGCAATATAAGAGCACTGAAGAGAAAATGTCAATTGTCAATAACATAAGAAATAAACCAAAACCTATTTGACATACACATGTATGGCAGAAAAAAGTTTATTAGCAAACAAAAAACCTATATTGCTCACTGCTGCTGTTGGAACTAAACCTTATATCTTCAAAATGATAGTTTCACAGGAGAAAGAAACTTTTAGTGTAAGTCAATGTAACTAGACTTTTTCCAAGCAGATCATTTCTATTTGTCCATTTATCGTCAAATTTACACACAATGTAAAGGCTAACAGACATTTCCAAATTGGGTCTGTAACTGAGAAACGACAAAGGTAGAGATATAAGGTTTTGTATATATGTATATGTTTTTGTATGTGCGTGCATATGTGTAAAAAGAATATATATATATATATAATATATATATATATATATATATACACACACACACACACACACACGCATGTGTGCATATGTATGTATGTTCATCAGCGACAGCTCTAGCGTATGTGTATATATGATATATGATATATATATATATATATATATATATATATATACACATACGGCTAGAGCTGTCGCTGATGAACCTTCTTCTAATATAGTCGCTAATTTATCATTACCTCTGTCTTGAAGTTGTTTATATGTCTTTCAGTTTAACTAAAATGTTTTTTGGAGATAAGTTCATGTTTTGGTCAGTTTAGCTGAAGCGCCTCAGGGCTCTGTTTGAGACGCGCCAGTAGAGCGTTAGCTCCGCCTCCTTTCGGTGCCTCGTTCCCATTGGTCGGCGGCTTTGTTTATTCCTGCGACCTCACCAAGTTCGGTTTCACTCGGTGCCTGTCAAGGAGCTGACAGCGATGAGGACGAGCCGAGAAAGCTCCTCAGACTGTGAGTAAAATTAGAGATTTAGTCATGTAGCGCAGCGTTTCTGCTTGCGGGAGATTAAAGTGGCAGTCTCGGGCTGTGTCTCGTTTCATTTGGCTCGACATTAACCGCAGAGCCGCATAGAGGTTTCTTGTTTATCCCAGCGCTAGCAGGCAGTTAGCAGGTGAGCTAGTTTAGCCTTAGCTCCCCAGCTAACTGTGCCAGTGAAAACATGCAGTGTCGGATAGCTCCTGATTAACGGTTATATTCGGACAGACACCTCGCAGCAGGCAGTCTGAGCCCTTTTATAAAGTTTTTATATCATCTAGAAGATGTTGTCCGTCCTTTGTGTAAGTGATGATGAACGACTGGCGAGTAAAATGCTTTAAAACACTTAAAACATTCTGTAAGTTAACGTCAGACTCTCCACAGCACAGTACTGTAATGAGTGTTGATGAAAATATGTTCATTTAACTTTGTTCTTGTTTTTTTTGTCGTTTAATTTTTATGGGTTAAGTTTGTTTATTATTTGTAATACGCTGCGTTAGATGTCATGTAGTTATAAAGCTGCCTTCAGGCCAATAAGAGCAGGGCAGACAGCTGCTGTAACCGAAATGACTTCAAACCCTGTGAAATTATTAAACTAATTTCAATGTGACCTTCGTAGCGCATACACCGATCAGCCACTTCAATAAAACCACCTCCTTGTTTCTACGTTCAGTGTCCATTTTATCAGCTCCACTTACTATATAGGTGCACTTTGTAGTTCTACAGTTACAGACTGTAGTCCATCTGTTTCTCTGCATACTTTGTTAGCCCCCTTTTACCCTGTTCTTCAGTGGTCAGGACCCCCATGGACCCTCACAGAGCAGGTACTATTTGGGTGGTGGATCATTCTCAGCGCTGCAGTGACACTGACACGGTGGTGGCGTGTTAGTGTGTGTTGTGCTGGTACGAGTGGATCAGACACAGCAGTGGTGCTGGAGTTTTTAAACAGTGTGTCCACTCACTGTCCACTCTATTAGACACTCCTGCCTTGTCAGTCCACCTTGTAGATGTAAAGTCAGAGACGATAGCTCATCTGCTGCTGCACGGTTTGTGTTGGTCATCCTCTTGTCCTTCATCTGTGGTCACAGGACGCTGCCCACAGGACGCTGTTGGCTGGATATTTTTGGTTGGTGGACTATTCTCAGTCCAGCAGTGACACTGAGGTGTTTAAAAACTCCAGCAGCACTGCTGTGTCTGATCCACTCACACACTAACACACCATCAGTGTCACTGCAGTGCTGAGAATGATCCAACACCCGAATAATGCCTGGTTTGTTGTGGTCCTGTGGGGGCTCCTGACCAATGAAGAACAGTGATAAACAGATAAACAAATGGACTGTGTTCATTTGTGCTCCTATATGGTAAGTGGAGCTGATAAAATGGACAGTGAGTGTAGAAACAAGGAGAAATGCTGCAAAAAGCACTGGTTCACATGCGTTCCTTTCTAGTAATGTGAGATGGGTGATGTAAGGTAATGTTATCCTCCTGGTGGTGGAAAAGTAGTGTGTGAAATCTACAGGTGTGTAACTGCCATGCAATAGTTCTTGTGTCCACTAGGAACTAGGAAACTTCATGATCTTCCTTTGTGGAGCAGATTGCAAATATTGATTCTCTGATACACTATAGCTTAAGATAAGATAGCAGGTAAATAGGTTATTGAGTGATGTAAAAGGCAAAATGACTTGCAGTATTATTGACGGTTAGCCACACCTCTCACTTTGGAGCTTTAGCTTTTTATTTCAGAGATTCCAGAAAGAGAAGAATAGCAGCTAACATGCTTTAGTTCCTTTGCTGATAGATAGCTGGGATAAGAAGTTGAGAATGCTTGAGAATGGTTGTAAGCTCTCTGCAGTATGTGGACTACTGAGCAGGTGTAGGATAAAGGAGGATTTCCAGTACTTCTAATACACTGTGCAGGTGAGGGCTAATCCTGTTAGGTGTGGAACCAGCTTTACTCAAAATAAAATGTGTAAGCCAAGATCTAAAACGTATTTTTATAAACTGGATTTATTATACTGTTTTAGTTTTATTTTTGTGTTTTGAATTATTATGATTAAAGGTGAACGATGGGGCAAAATATATGACTTGGGCTGAGATCCAGTTAGCTTCTGAATTTACTGCAGTTACTCTACACTGGTTGTTGTTTTTTGCTGCTGTTAGTCAGAACAAAACCTCATATCTCCAAAATGGTAACTTTACAGGAGAAGGAAAAAACATACTTTACTTTGAATGCAAGTCAATGGAACCAGACGTTTTTCCAAGTTATTTTGGGCTGTTTGTTTTGGTCCGTTCACCAAATCTTTATTGCAGTATTTATTGGAAAAACCTAAATATTGCATTGTTTTCTTCCTCAGTATTGTTCAGTATTGTATCTTTTCTGCACTAACCCTATATTTCTTTTCCACTCTCAATATATTTTAAGTTACATATCAACTCTATCCTCTATGCTTGTTTGCAGGTAAGAAGTTCTCCATAAAGTGCTGCTCTTGTGGTTTAAATTTAAATTTACACACAGTTTAAAGGGCAGCAAGCATTTTCAAATTATGACAAAAACTGAAAAACAACAAAAATGGAGATACAAGGTTTTGTTCTGACAGCAGCGTTTTGTTGTTGTTTACAGGCTTTCTGTAATTGATCTGCATCTGTCTTTCTTATAATGCACACACTGTTCTAGAAGTACTAATGATATCCATCAAATACTCAGCACACAGAAAAGTGCAGTGTGACAGTAATGATAACATATCGCCATGTTGCCCTATTCAGGATTATAATCCAGAGTAAAATGCAGCTGAATGATTATTTTAAAGCTCCATTAATGCAGAACAATATATACAAGTTTTGGCAACATTTACTGCCATCCAGACAACGTCTTTTTCAGGGAAGGCCTTGTTTGTTTCAGTAAGACAATGTCAAACCCCATTCTATATCTCACTATATATCATACAGCACTGCAGTAACACTGATGTGGTGGTGGTGGACAGTAAGTGGACACAGTGTTTAAAAACTCCAGCACCACTGCTGTGTCTGATCCACTTATACCTGCACAACACACACTAACACACCACCACCACGTTGGTGTTACTGCAGTGCTGAGAATGATCCACCACCCAAATAGTACCTGCTCTGTGAGGGTCCATGGGGGTCCTGACCACTGAAGAACTCTAATTTATTTGTTTCAGCATGTCGTCAAAAGTCAAAATGCCTCCTGTAAGAAAAACTTAGATTGCTAAATAGTTCCTGACTTGGATGTACAGTTCTTTGAGAATCCTTTATTTGATATAGAACATTTACATTATGTAACTTTAAACTATAGAAAAGGTTTTTTACACTCACAACAATATATCTTTGAGGAACCATCCACTGAAAAGTTCTTTAGGGAACCAAAAATGATTCTTCTATGGTATCCCTCTTTTTCCCTCTGGGAGTGAATGACAGGGGTTATATCAAGAGTCTGATGCATAATAGTACATTTTCATCCACATTTGGGAATATTGTGTTTTACTTGAAATAACTCTGGGCTCTGTGGTACCTTGCTAAGTAGAAGATAATTTAGAAATAATTGTCAAGCTCAAACTTCTGCGTCAAAGAAAATGAGGCTTTCTGTTGTAGCACATGTTTTGCATTAAATTAGCCACGGGCTGCTCTCTCAACCTTTTTTTAAATTTAGTATCTTGTTATTAAAAACATTTGTTTCTCAGGGTTGATCTGAGACATGCAATTAAGTGTGAACTAATGCTAAGCTCAAAGTAAGAAAGTTGCTGTGACTCAGATTAGGTGGGACCCTGTGTTTAAGAACGGTTTCTTTGGTCTGTTTTCGCTTTTGTAGTCTGTTGAATCTGCTGAGGTCAGGGCAGAAGCTGTGATCTGAATGTAAGCATGATAATTACAATGGCTGCTTGAAATTCTCTCAGTTCCAGAGAGACCACCCCATGTGCAGGCTCTGAGCTGGACCAGGCGTGTGCTGCGTGCAGTTTCTGTTCTCCACTAGACCCTTTAGAGTGGCCTTTGCAATATTGGAAGATTTTTCAGCTGCAACATTGCAGTGATATAATAGCAAAATATTATATTGTGTGATTTTTCTAAACTGGAGTTCAAAAAACATCTAAAGATACAGAGAAACTGGGACTCCTAATAACCATGCAAGAACTGGTAGACCACCGAAACTGACCCCATCAGATAAACAGCACTGAAAGCGTTCAACTTTGAGAGAGAGGAGAAAATCAAGCTGCTTCAGATCTGAAAACATCGACAGGTGTTTCTGTCCATCCTTCCACTGTGAGAAGACAACTCAGCACTATGGGTCTGAAAGGATGTGTAGCTGTGGGGAAGCCCTCACTGAGAAACAGACAAAAATTCTTCTGCTGAGTCCAAATTTATGATTGAAATTATTTGGATTGTGAGAAGCAGAAAATGCGACCAATTTCTAAGACTGAACTTTGGAGGTGTGGAAAAATATCCCTGTAGATTTCTTCAAAAACTGAAAGCGAGTCCTTTGACTTTTAGGCAAATGATGGACACAATAAATACTAAAAATATATACATTCAGTTGTTGAGGCTTCTGTGTAATTATCCTTTTGTAATTCACTAAATTGAGCATTACAATACAAGGCTAATAAAGCAAAATATGTGTTTGTTTCATCCTGTGCTCCCTTTCTCCCTCACCTATATTCCCCTGATGAGATAAGGTGAGATACAAGATGTACAGGGTCATATTAAACAATACAAAGGATCAGATTAAACATAGACACAGATTGAATTAAAAACTGTACGTTTTTTGTTAAATGTGTTTCTTGCTTTATTTTATTTGGAGTGGTCCTTTGTAGATGATTAATAAACTCTTAACAGATTATCAGTAACACATCAACAACATATCAGTGAAGTAGCAGTAGTGAAGCGTCTGAATACACTGAAGTAAATATCTTGTTGATGTTCTGTTGATACATTACTTACATTAAGTAGATGGATTGTTAATAGGTTACTTCCATTACCCAAAACCTAACCCTAACCCTCATATGTTTTTGAAATGTTACTGAGAGTCTGTTGAGTGTTTGTTTCAACGAAAAGGACTACTCAAAATAAAATGTCACCAAATTTTTAACTTTTTTATTTTTTAAATATTGCAGTATTTATTGGAAAAACCTAAATATTGCATTGTTTTCTTCCTCAGTATTGTTCAGTATTGTATCTTTTCTGCACTAACCCTATATTTCTTTTCCACTCTCAATATATTTTAAGTTACATATCAACTCTATCCTCTATGCTTGTTTGCAGGTAAGAAGTTCTCCATAAAGTGCTGCTCTTGTGGTTTGGATCTTTGGAATGATTCATCCTAAAGCCAGTGAATGGACAACAACAACTGACAACGCCTTCACTTCACCTTACTCTGCTATTTCACCTGCGTCCACTCCCACTTTGCTCCGTCTGACCTTTTTTGACCCCTCCTGCTGCCTCACTAGCTGCCTGTCCAGTTTGGGGAAAGCTGTGCCCGGGCCTGGTGCCCTCCCCACCCTCAGTGGTGGCCAACGCTGAGTGTTGGCGTGCGATGGCGCGGCGGGACGCTGAGGGTTGCTGCTGTGGACTGTGATGTCAGAGCCCAGCAGCCCCGGCGAGAGCCAGCGCGGCGCTCCCAGATTCTTCGTGGGCTGCGAGGAGGATGAGAGCGAGGGCCTGGACGGCTACGGCAGCATGAGGACTGACATGGAGCTGTACGAGGACGACCAGGAGGCAGACTCGGTAAGGACAAAGGTGGTTTTCAGAGCTTCTTCTATGCTGTATATGTAGAGTTTTGTTCCAAAATGCTGTACATCCATTTGGAAAAGTTTTAGACATACGGACTTTGTAAAAAGATTTTTGGATAGGGTTTTACTTATTTATATATAAATATAAATACATTTATATATATATATATATATATATATATAAATATATATATATATATATATATAAATAATTGAAAATTCATGAAAAGTAAGGATATGCAAATGCATATATATTCATATATATATATATATATGAAGGTTTTTTTTATTTTTTATTTTTATTTATGAAATAAAATCTTTTTACACCAACTTACATTAAAAGTGAAGAACATTTTTGCCTTTTACTGTAAAGTTTTTGGAGATACTTGATTTTCTTTGGACAGCAATGGTGTGTGTATGTATGAATAGTAGAGTGTGTGCATGTGTATATATACACGACCAATTAATAAACACTGAATAAAAATTCTTACATTTCACATTTCTTTTTGATATCTTAATCTAAAGCTGGTGAATGCTATCAAATATCGTTACATTATTAATAATTATGAATATAAATTGATGCAAGAATATAATTTCTTTTAAATATTTCAGCAATTGTATCTCCTTACATTTTAAGTTTAAAGTTTCAGTTTAAAAGTTTCAGTTTAAAACCTTCTGTCCAGAGAGAGGTTTTGCTGACCTCACTGTCATAAGCTGACCTGCCTGAGCTTTTGAGTATAAGGTTGGCGACAACACAGTAACGACCATTTTGGTTAACAGTAATGGTGATGTTTGTGCACTCCTCCCTCTTCGCTGGTGCCTCTCTGCAGCCTCCTGAACGTCAGATTGTGGTGGGGATCTGCTGTATGATGAAGAAGTCCAAGTCCAAACCCATGACTCAGATCCTGGAGCGGCTCTGCAAGTTTGAGTACATCACTGTGGTCATCTTCCCCGAGGACGTCATACTGAATGAGCCGGTGGAGAAATGGCCCCTCTGTGACTGCCTGATCTCCTTTCACTCTAAAGGTGACTATTTGACCTTGTTAGACCTCAGGCCAAATAAGATGTCACTTACGAGCAGTTCATTTTGGCAGAAGCTCTTTGAGACAAACATACAAGTAATTAAAGAAGCAAATAATTAAAGAAAGTAGGACAGTGGTTCTTAACTCAGTCCTCAGGGCCCCCAAGACAGTCCATGTTGTTGATTTAGGTAGTCAGTGTTCTTAAGGGCTGAGTTCATGACTGCTGGGAGCTGGGATGGTGCAAAGCCAAGCCCTGAGGACTAGTTTGAGAACTGACTGATGAGAGAATCTCATATATATGTGAGTGTGTGTGTGATAACTGGTTTCACCTCCTACAACTTGAAAAGCACTTGCACAGCTGCTGAAGGACCCTTTTTCACAGTAGCTTAAAATTGCACTGTGCAATTTTTCTTCACTAATGTTGATGGAATATATATATATATATATATATATATATATTGATGTGATTTACAAAACAAAGCAAAACTGAGCAAACGAGCCAACATTTATAAAAGCGGGTTTGTGTTTTAATGCTACTTCTTATTGTGTTGGTCTCAGTTTTTATTATATGAACAAAGCTGCAGTTGTGTTGTTTTATCTCAGCATGGCCGTCTCTGTGGAGAAGTGTAAATTGTTTTTCACAGTGAGGTCCTCTCACCCCTCCCCTTTCATCCCTCATTGCTTCCTAGCAGCTAAACAGTCACAATATTTCACATACAGAGAGCCAACAGTGTCTTACTTAATCTGATAACAGAGTTACATGGAAAAATATTATATTTGCTTACTTTCATGAAAATATCTGAGTCGATTTGAATTCCACCATGGGCTGGGGGGCGGGGATGGGGGGGTGCCTTGGAAATGTCAAAGTTTATGTGTGTGTGTGTGTGTGTTTGTGTTTATTTATTTATGTGGTGGGGTCCAAATGACTGACACCATATTAAAAAAAATCTCAGAATTTTTAAATAAACTTCGAAATAAACAGCTGAACATTTTTGAATTGTGAAATATTTAAAATATTCAAGATTTTGCACTATTTCTTATTCACTATTCAAAGTTAAGCAAATTTATGACGCTGACCATATTGAGGCCTTTTGTATGAAAAGGTTTTTTTTTATTCTTATCTCTACCATTGAAGTTTGTGTTTACACGATTCTCAGGAAGATTTGATCTCCTATCCAAAGGCTTTTGCATTGTGGAGTCCGTGGCAGCTTAAGTGCCCACTGTCATTAAAGTAAAAGAAGGATATGTCAAGTACTAAGAAATGACTTCTGAAATTCATATTAAAAGTTCAGAGTTTCTGCTTTTCATTCTAATTATTGTCATAATAATAGACTCTGTATTGAAAATCTTTCCATTAAATTAGAAAGAAATGCAAATTAGAAGCATTTTCACTTTTGGACCCCACTGTGAAGATTCACAGCTTTTTCTGATTTCCTTCAAGTTGTCCACAAATTAAAAAGTTATGGTTTTTCAAGGGTTCTTTAGTGGTTCTTTATAGAACCATGAACACTCAAAGAACCCTTTGCTTGATTAAAGGCTTCTTTGCAGCATGACCGTGTTCTTCAGATTGATGGAGAATGTGCTGTAGATGGTTCCATATAGAACCTTTTTGAAAAGGTTTCTACATAGCCTCAAAAAAGGTTCTTCTATTGTAACAAGCCTAACATCATAATAATAGGAGAACCCTTTTTGAGGCTTTATAGACTATAGACTATATAAACCATCTACAGCACATTCTTCCTCAATCTCAAGGACCCTTTCGTCATGCAGAAGGTTCTTTGAGTGTCCATTTTCTTTACTAAAGTAATACATATCAAGTACTGAGAAATTCTGAAATTACTATTAAAAGTTCAGGTAAAATCTTTCCATTAAATTAGAAGGAATGCAAATTAGAAGCATTTTCACTGGTGGTCTCAGACTTTTGGACCCCACTGTGAAGATGTGCAGCATTTTCTGATTTCCTTCAACTTGTCCACACATTTAAAAATGATGTTTATTTAAACCCAAAGGGTTCTTTGAGTGTTCATGGTTCTATGTAGACCCATTTTCTTTACTAAAGAATCCTTAAAGAACCATCATTTTTAAGTGTAATGTTCCCAATTCCTTGTAAGCATTTCTTATTTGCCAAATCGGCCTTTTACTTATTTTATTTGTCTTCAGATTTTCTCTTCTGTTCATTGACAGGTTTTCCGTTGGATAAAGCAGTGAGTTACGCGAAGCTCCGTAACCCGCTGCTCATCAACGATCTCAATATGCAGTATTACATACAGGACAGGTACGACTGAAACCTTCAGCACCATGTTCAGCACCGTTTGTCTAGAACCTGCATTAACATTAAAATAACCTGTGTCTTATACACTTTAAATGCAGCCAAGGCTTTTTGGTGATGCTGATGTAATGTCTTTTTAGGAGGGAAGTGTATCGCATTCTGCAGGAAGAGGGGATTGACCTGCCGCGCTACGCCGTGCTGAACCGAGACCCAGACAAACCTGATGGTACGTCAGTTGCAGAACTCCAGATAAATCCCAGAGTCTCTATGAGCTTTCACTTGTTATGGATGAGAGGAGAATGAGTAAAAGGCCTTTAGGGCAGCAGAACATCCTGTTCTTTGTTTTCGCTCTGCTTTATTTTAGCCCCTGTGTGTATAAATAGCTGCTAATGTAGAGCAGTTAGGAGAGTGCATTGCTTTGAGGGCTCCATTAAGCATCTATTAACCCCAGGGGTGCCAAACCCAGCTCTTGGACATGCACAATCCTGTAGAGATTTCCAGGTAATCACAGCTTTCAAAGACAACTGGACAGTAAAACTAGATGTGTTAGATCAGGCTTGAAAATTGTCTCAGCAGGCTGAATCTGCAGGAGCAGTGTTGGATGCCCTGATTTAGCCAGTTTATCTTTCGAACCTGTGGCTTTCTCTGAGAACAGTTATATGAATAAAATCATCCCCTGTACAAAGAAATAATAAATATTACTCAGTCACATCAGGAGTATCTTACATACAGTCTGTTATTTTTCTTTTAGTATTATTGTCTTTTATGTTTTTTCTTACAAATGAGAGAAAACATTAACTGGATTTCTAGCTACATATTTTTACATGTATTTTGATATAAAGACTGAAAACCCTTGTTGGAAAGACAGTTATCAAATAAAATTGCTAAAATTCTGACAAAGGTTTTCATACACGCTTTAGGGCGATACAAGAAAAAACATAATTATGATATTAGACAGTGAACCTATGATATTTAAGGTATGCTTAAGATACCTTTACCTGATTAATGGGCATTTACTGCACTATTATGTTTGCCAGTGAGTTAATTGAGGTGGGCAATATGACGATATTTTAACATTATTGTGATAATATGCTTATCATGAATTCCATTTGTACTTAAAGAACACTGACCAACTACATGTTCCGTTAAAAAGAGAACATAATTTGGCCTGTTTAATTGGATTATATGCTTTTAGAAATATTTGTGAAAAGTTGACTAAAAATAGTTGTAGAGTTTTTTATGGCAGTTTTTAAATGTGGCACTACTAGTGCAATGTGTGTGTCAAAATATCACGACACTTGACATTTAAACAAAACAGTAATGAGAAGCTGCTCAGCATTAAAGACTTGTATGTAGACTAGCTCCATATTTCTCAGAAGTGTTTTATACGTGTGATAGATTTATTTTCTTTTATTGAGCTGATGGGAAAGCAGTTTAATACATATACATTTTTGCTTCATCAGTTATTCAACATTTGACAGTGGGATGGAAACAGTGACATTATAAACTGGATATACAGGGTTATGTGAGTATGGGGGCAGTGTTACTATGAAGTGGTTCCATACTTGGTTATGCTAGATCGGTTTCTGACAAATTATAATTATGGCTTTGTTCTCTGTTATGTTAAAGCCCTTTCCTGAAAAAGCCGTTTCCTACAGAAGTTTCCATTTGGAGCCTTAAACTAGTCTTATGCAAAATTTGAACGCCCCCAGTTAAATGATGTTGATTTTCTACATGAAAAAGACATTTTTTTAGTGCACAATTTCTGTTTATTTGCTCAGTTTACCTACTGGAAAACAATAAAACATGAAATAGAAAGTGTGACATAGCTTTTGCACAGGCCACATTTTATGTTATGCCTTTTTTGTTAAATTCAGCAAAAAAAAAAAATAATTATATGCAAATAATTATGCATCATTCTGTTCTCTAGAATGTAGAATACATGTTAACTTACTTTCACTTAGCACTTTTGCATTCATAGGTAAGGCTGTCCATGTTCAAACTTTTGTTTATATTTTCCAGTCACTGTTGGAGCACCCTGCTGCAACTATTTATTGTATTTTGTACTGTTTAGAGTATTTACTGTTTCTTGTCTTCCAGAATGTAACCTGGTGGAGGGAGAGGACCACGTGGAGGTGAACGGCGAGATCTTCCCCAAGCCCTTCGTAGAAAAGCCTGTGTCTGCAGAAGATCACAATGTCTACATCTACTATCCGACCTCAGCTGGTGGAGGCAGCCAGCGCCTCTTCCGAAAGGTTTTATTTTTATTTTAGTTGTTTTTTTTTTTCTCCCTGAGTCCCTTTTCTCCATCAGCTTCTCCATAGTGTTCTAATAGACCTACGTCATTACTGGCAAACTGGAGAAGCTCATTGCTCATCCAGAAATAGAGCAGACTCTTTGCTTTGTGGGATGCCATAAAACCCACAAGTACATCGCTGACATTTGGATCCACCACCAGCACTTGGCCACTAAACATGTATTTCTCCAACAGCACCTGTTATTATGAAGCATGAAGTAAAGAATAAGAGGTGTTTTTGTGACTTGTCACCCGTCAGTTTTGATGTAACTGAAGGGTGACATAGCACGTAATCCATGATGAATCATAACACTTCAGATTAGAGTGCACAAATGCACGTTTACCAAAGTCTAGTCTAGTCAGTAACCCCTAAAGCTCTAGGCTTATTGTTCAGTTATTAGTCTTCTCAAATGTGCAGTATATCAAAAATGTATTTATTTATTGCCATGGAATTTGCCTTGGTGGGCTGAACCCAAACAATAAAGACAATAAAGACAATATCAAGGCCCATAGAAGATGAAGAGAGACCAGTAAATAAATCCATGCAGTACTCATGCACACTATCTACCAATAACTGCTGAGATTATGATATATATATGTGTTGTTATATATTAAATGCCAAACATTCTTGTGTTATATTGCACTTACATGTATTTTTCATTTTCTCCTTTTCTGAAATTTGGCTCCTGACAAGTAAAACTCAGATTTGCTCACTTTGATTAAAACATTGTCACACATGTGGCTTAACTCTTTAGTGTCTGACTCGTCTCACCGCAGTCTCGGCTGAATAATATCTCCATAAGAGAAGTGTAAGATCTCATCGTCATCTGTCAGGGCAAAAGGAGAACTCATGCTTTTCTCTTTCATCACCAGAATTTCTCATAGTGAAATGCTGATGTTAGTCTCCTCTTTTTTCCTAAGGGGTTGTAGGAGAAACAATTCAGAAATCAGTGATCCTTCATTAATGTAATATTGAGATCTGCTTTATTTCTCTGTGACCATCTTAAGAAAGAAAATTTTTCCTCTGGGTTGTTCATTTGTGTTTATTCTAATGCTATGGAATGCTTACTGTCCAGCATTACATAGCATTTTCAGATGCCACACTTTCACCCAACACTGTAAATCCGTAGACTTTTGCAGCAGCTGAACAATCTTGCTAGTCTAGTACTGCCAAGACATCAGGAGGTTTTAAAGACTTATTTTTAGGTATGCACCGATAAGAGAATTGTGACCAATGTTCTCTGGATTAGCTTTATGGCAGGCATGTCAAACTGGGGACCTATCCGAGCCAAAGCGCTGCAGAGAGTAGCATTTACCCTCATGTAACGCTCTGAATTCAGTTCATAGAGGCCTTGCTAATTAGCTGATGAGCTGAATCAGGTGTGTTTAATGAGGCAGTGTGCTGAAGTCTGCAGTATTTTGGTCTGCTAGGACTGGAGCTTGACTCATGTGCTTTATGGAATAATGTAACATTTGTTTGGAGGATTATAAATGCTGTAAAATGAATAAAATGGTGACATTTTAGCACTGTAGCCCAGCATCTTCTAAATATTCTGCTCTTCTGTACAATAACGTACAATAAATACATTATATGGTTTGAAATATTGGCCAAATCCAAACATCTATCCAATGCAAATATATAACAGATAATGTATGCTGTAGCTACTATAAATTACTCATAAAACTTGTCTGGATTTTAATGGGACATTTAAACTCTAAAATGCAAACGTTCTCAAAGGTTTTCTTACTCCTGCAGATCGGAAGCCGAAGCAGTGTGTATTCTCCGGAGAGCAGTGTGAGAAAGACGGGATCCTACATATATGAAGAGTTCATGCCTACAGACGGCACAGATGTGAAGGTACAGTTTAACACAGTCATCTGAGACTCTTCAGCTGTGCTCTGAAATTTTGCTGTGGTAAATGCAGCTTTAGTACACTAAAAAGGGTACTGTCCAGCTCCCCAACATACAAACAGTGTAAATGGACCCTCAAAGGCACAACATGGTACCTAAAATTAGTTTTCATGGTACCTATTTTTAAGGTACCATTCACTTTCCCAGAGGAGCATAACCTTCTCATAACTTCAGCAGCGGTAAAGTGTTTGTTTTGTGTATACTTATAGTGGACCAGCTTGTTGCCAAACAGATATGTTTTACAGATTAAAACAGGCTTTGCTGCAAAGCGGCACTTTAGGAGCTTTGTAGGGCACATTAAGCTCTTTGTGGAAATTTTGATAAGCAGCATTCCAGCTCTAGAGCTTTGAGAGGTGTTTGTGTTTGCGTTTCTCAGGTTTACACAGTAGGGCCTGATTATGCTCATGCTGAGGCACGCAAATCTCCTGCTCTGGATGGCAAGGTTGAACGAGACAGTGAAGGAAAAGAAATCCGCTATCCTGTTATGCTGACCGCCATGGAAAAACTGGTGGCTCGCAAAGTCTGCCTGGCTTTCAAGGTTAGTAATATTGCTTGTTCTTTACGTATTAGGGATGCACGGGTAGGGGGATCGTGGGCCGATGCAGATAGCCAATGGAGATCTGACCCTACATAAACATTTATGAAATGTAGAAATTGTGACTACATTTAACTGGATGAGCAGTACAGAGCATTATAACATTTATTTCTATATAGCACAGCAGCATAGTATCCCTTGAACATTCTGCTTTTCCAGAATAAAACTATATAATTATCGATTTGAATTTTGAAAAAGAGTCTTACCAGCGCGCTCAGATGACTTATTCCAGCTATATCATCGAGAGTCATGAAGGTACTCTTTGGTAATAAAGCTGGATTTTACAAATGATAAAAAATCAATGATCGCTTGCGGATAGCTTTCTCTATTTTGCCCCTGCTTTTCTTTTTTTTTCCCCCAATTTTTCTCCCCAATTTAGTCGTGTCCAATTCCACCCGCTAGTCAGGACTCCCCAGTCACACGATACTACCAATGCTAGAAGGACGAAGGTTAGCACAGGCTTCCTCTGAGACCTGTGAAGCGCCACCGCATCTTTTCGAACTGCCACTCACGTAACATCATTAGACAGCGGAACGCGCTCGGAGGAAAGCGCCAACCACCAGATTTTTATGTCCACTAAGGGGGAGCGAGGGGGGGGGGCATCCTGTCCACCCAGAGAGCGAGGCCAGTTGTGCTCTCTTGGACTCGCAGCCACAGATGGCTGTAGCATCACCAGGGCCCCTGCTTTTATAACAGCAAATTAGAAAGGTGGGGCAAAAGAGCCTCTGTATACCATATGTACGAGCGCCTTGGTGTGAAGTGAACTTTTAGTATTACTGAACTTAAAGTATTACTTTTAGTATTATTATTGGTCAAATCTAAAGTCTAATGATTATCTGCTGATATGGATGATTTCTATATCCTCGTGCATCCCTAGTCAGTGTTAGGTGTTGGACTTTGTTAACTTATTCTTTTATTTTATACTTTCTATTTCAGCAAACAGTCTGTGGGTTTGATCTTCTTCGGGCAAACGGACACTCATACGTGTGTGATGTGAACGGCTTCAGCTTTGTAAAGAACTCTATGAAATATTATGATGACTGTGCCAAGATACTTGGGTAAGCAAATACAGATTATTACTCTATTACACATACAGTAGTACCCTGGCTGTCAAAAAGAATTGGTGAAATGTTGTTTTTGACAGTGTGATCACTGACACAGCAAAAAAATGAAGGAACATAGGAAATAGACTATTTCCCGGACTAGAACTTAAGAGTAGAACTTGGTTGCATTGTTGCATTGAGGGCCTCTAGCCTTAAAAACAACCTCACACTGTCCCGTCATATTTTCATAAAGCTTTTTCTACGTGATATAAAGCAGTGTTTCTTAATCTTGCTTCTGATACCCATAGCACTGCAGCTGTTCCCTGGCCTAATGCTCCTATTCCACTCACGAAGGGCTTGATAATCAGATGATGAGCTGGATCAAATGTGTTGAGCCAAGGTATACTTGAAACTATGCAGTGTGGTGGGTCTCCAGAAGCAGGATTAAGAAATGCTGATCTGAAGGAACTGCTTTCCACATATTCTTCACTGCTGTCCACTGACCATCAAAAGTGGATTTTTCCTTCTAACACAATCCTACAAGACCTCACTGAGTTTGAAACGGTGTCTGAATTTCCTCAAACCATTCTCTTGCTTGATGAGTGGTGTGGCATCATTGTCTTGTTAGAGTATCCTTTTATTGTTTTTCTTCATTCAAGTGAACGAAAGGTCCATTCAAACAGTTGTTAAACTTGATTGTATCACATGCACCAGCATTCAAACCTTTGGAATCACTGTTTGAAAGTCTGAAATTAATATTTTCAACAATATCAAAGCAATATCATTACAGACAAATAAAATGTTTCTAATAAGTGAATCCTGGGCAACTTCACAATTTTCCAATGATTAGTAGAACACTAGAAAGCTGTATATATAATGATTTAAAAAATGTGTATGTCCAGAAGGTTGAATGCAGCTGTAGAAGACTGTAAATGACACAGACAACTAAATTATGTATCATAATGAAATTAATATCTAGAAATCATTATAGTACAAAAGTGGAGATCAAATTTCAGGGCAAATAAATTGACATAAATGCTTATAAATACATAATTACAGCATATTGTTTATCACTTTATTCTTTGTTCTTGTTGAAATATTGAATAAAATGTCTAAAAATGCTTTTTATGAGTACAGAATGCTATAAATCAGCCTTCTTTAAGTTATTCTTGTATATAAGAAAATACACTTTTCATACGGCGAGCTATTCCAAACCTTTGGACGCTTGTAGGTGCATCCAAGCAGTTCTTTTTCACTGCCAGTGTTTTTGATGCTAGTATTTTTCAGAGGGTTTTTTCACTGTATTCTGCATTTGTAGGAACATTGTGATGAGGGAGCTGGCTCCCCAGTTTCAAATCCCGTGGTCCATCCCCACGGAGGCAGAGGATATACCCATAGTCCCCACCACATCTGGCACCATGTGAGTACACGCTCTGAGATCTCAATTCAGGCTTTACTGGTTTATAGTGACCATCTTTATTAAATAAACCATTTTCCTCTGCATGTCGTGCAGTTTTTACAGAGTGCACAGATGGAACTGGTTTGCAGTGATGACTGAATGATTGTTGTCTTCCGCAGGATGGAACTGCGCTGTGTGATTGCAGTGATCCGTCATGGAGACCGCACACCAAAGCAGAAGATGAAGATGGAAGTCAGGAATCCCATGTGAGCTCATGTGACTCATGGTAGAACTCTTTCACTGCACAACTATTAGACCCCTGAGTGCTGAGGGTTGAACCCTGTTAAACCTAACATCTTGCTGGCGATACATGCATAGATTTTGTCCCTTTTAACCCTTTAAGCCTTTGTCCTCTTTTTTTTTTTATTTTTTTATTTTACCCCCAATTTTCTCCTCAGTTTAGTCATATATAATTGCACCCACTACCCAGTAGTTAGGACTCCCCCAATCACACAATACCACCAGCGCTAGGAGGGCGAAAGCTGGTGCCGCTCATGCAACGTCATTGGCAGCCGAACGCGCTCGGAGGAAAGCACCAACTGCCAGTTCTATTCAGCTAACAGGCACCTGTGCTGACTAGCATCATGCTGTGTGATGGGGGGAGATGGGGGGCCATCCTACCCACCCAGAGAGCGAGGCCAATTGTGCTCTCTTGGACTCCCAGCCACTGATGGCTGTAGCACCACCAGGGATCAAACTCGCAATCTCCTGAGGATAGGGCCAATGCTTAGATGGTTGTGCCACCCGGAGCCCCGTCTTTGTCCTTTTTTAGCTCATTAAAATCTGCCCCTAGAGTAGTTGGTCATAGTAAAATAGTTCAGCTTGTGGAATTGGAGCTTTCTGTGTCTACTATATATTTTGTGTTACTTGTTATAGAAGCTCCATGCTGCCTTTATTGTTGAATGCACTGTGATAGTTTCTGACCAAGCTTGTCCACACATTCAGAATGTAGTTCAGATCGCTAAGCACTTATTTTTGATTTGTTTCAGCAGATTAACAGTAAAATGAGACTGTTGTGTGAAGAACATTAATGTGTTTGCTTATCTAAAAGTGTTACTTATGACTTACAAAATAGAAATCTGCCATTTTTTGGCTTTCAGAATAGATGTAGCATCACACTGAGATAAGTATGAGTAGAAAAAGAGTAGATTAGAAGCCATAAATGGTGTTTTTTTGTGTAGTCATTAAAGGGTTAATTAAACATGTCTTTTTTCAGGTTTTTTGAGCTGTTTGAAAAATATGGTGGTTACAAGACTGGCAAGCTAAAGCTGAAGAAACCCAAACAACTGCAGGTAATGGGGTGTGTTTGCATGACTGAGTCATCCAGTGCTGTATTTTCATGTAGATATGCTTTTCACCTGGGGATATAGCCAGATACAGTCCTGAACCCTGAAGCCAAATAACGCTGGGACAAATTTCGGCTTGTTTGGTGTTTCAGTTCTTTTAAAGTCAACTGAAGGGCCCACATCCTGCATTTTTCTTGTGTTTAATTTTTTTCCCTGAAGTCCCTTTATTTTCTATATGGTTGGTTTACCAAAAACAGTTTTACCACTTCCATTTTTTAATCTCTCTTTATCTCTTATGATTAATCTGTCTGTTTTTTGTTACTGCGCCTTTAAGACTGATGATATGTTAATGATCTCTGTTCTCATTGGCTGCCCTGTGATGTGCCTCATTCAAAAAGTAGTCCAGGCTAAAACAGTGTCTTTCAGTGTCAGCAGAAGGGGCTAAACTGCTGTAGGCTGAATGGGTGGATATATGCAAATATGTTGGTTTTGTGACATTTACATAAACAGTAAATTCAAAAAGAGCTGCTTTTGTAGATTTGTTTCCATATATAGATTGTATGGACTGGAAAGTGAATGGCATGTTTTGAAACTTGAGCAGTGATTGCATGAAACTTCAAATGAGACTCTTTCATTTAAAGAAAGTAAGGAGAATTTGATTTTCCATTATATGGGCCCATTAAACCTTTCTGCAGTGCACTGGCTTTAGTCAGATACTCCATGTTTGCTGTTTTACCCTTCAGGAAGTGCTGGACATTACCAGGCAGCTGTTGGCAGATCTGGGGCAGCACAATGACTGCGAGATTGAAGAGAAGAAGTCGAAACTGGAGCAGCTCAAGACTGTTCTGGAGATGTGAGTGATGTGTTTAGAACTGGGCCACTTTAACTGGCACACACAGTTTCCCTGAGGAATGTCAGGAACATGTGCATGAAATGCTTTTAAGGATTGTTTCAAAACAACAAATACATGGCAGTTGTACTGAAAACTGTACATGTTATCAGTGAGGCCTGGGATTTGTTGAAAATTGCTGCATTTGACTAAAGCGACAGCTAAAGCAGAAAAGAAGCAAATGTCCTGTCAACTGGAAATTCCTAGTCAAAAAATCAAAAAGGTCTCAGAGTTCAGCATCAGCTTGGCTGCTCATACCTTCATTAGTGCAAACCGCTTTAGTGCAATCAACATACAGACACAGTAGTTGTTTAAAGGGTGATTACACTGAGTTTTCAAAATTCTTAACAGAGTCATTCAGAGTGCTTTGATGTGAAATGCTCCATTCCACAGAAACGTACTGAATCAATATTGTTCACAGTGGTGGTGATGGGAACAAGATGTCTGAGGAGTTTTTTGCCTCTAAACCTACATCCTAGAATGTTAGTACACACAGTGGTTACAGATGCGCTGCCTGATGGCTGAGACATTGGCTGTGTTTGCATGCAAAGATTTTTACCGGTCCGATTGAATACATTCCGATTATAGATTAAGACCGAGGTGTTTATATGTGTTATTAATTACTTTAAGGAAAATGTACTTCTTGATGGCCGAGAGGAAGATGTCATGTTTTGAGACACATAAGCTGGACTCCCGTCCCACCGCCGTCTTTTAAAGTTGTAAGCATAAACTTTGTCTACTCTGCAGACCAGTTTCTGCTCCCGCCATGTTGAACACTGTGAACTTTCGCAATGACGCGACACGCATGCAAAGAAAGGTACTTAAACTTTCTGTTTGGGAATGTAATTGGATACAGATGTTTACACGGCTATTATTCTTCTATTTAATGGATTATTTACAGAATCACCCACCATTTCAGATTTACTACCATATCAACATTTCATATAAAAAATATAATTGTGTCTTTAGAATGACGCGTTTCACATTTGAATGAATGGCTTTTTTACCATCTTAGCCACTGAATTATGCAGATATTGTAATAAATAGTGGAATTCTCCTTTAAGTCATTTATGTTAACTGTAAAGTTTTCTATTTTGAGAAGGTAAATATGTCAGGGACGTTAAGGTTATCAGTCATATCGCTTGGAAGGAAAATGACGTGAATTCAAGCTCCGACTTCCCACTTCCGAGTTAAGTTGAACACAGCATAACTTCAGTTACTTTTAACTATAATGAGCCACAGTTGAAAATTTTGGAAGCAGAGCAGCAGCACTGGCACTGAATAGAAGCCACTTTAGACCTTGTAAATGCTACAGGAGGGGTGCATGTTCTTTTTCAGAGAAGCCAACAAGTGAATAAATAAAAGGATAAACAAATTGTTTTATCTCTGCTAAGACACTATATGGCATCATAACATCCTCTATTTTGAATCACCAAAGTGTAACTTTTGAAAGTCAAGGCAAACTAGACAGGCTCTAAACTGTTAAATACAAACAAGGTAAGTACATTTTCATGTGCTTTATTTATAGTGCTGTTTTTACTGCAGTGTTTTTTATAGTACATGTTGTCAGATGGACAGAACATAATTATCTTTACCACAAAACCTCTAAGATAACATGAAGCAGAAACTCAATGCTGCTTAATGTTGCTTGTGAGAATGGGTGTGCACAAAATAAAGCAGCAGATCAGTTTAGAAGAGGCCAGTTTCGGGAAGCCCAAGGGACCTTTATAATTACTTTTTTGGCCAAAATATTTCATATGTTTAATACGTTATATGTTATATGTAAATAAATAGTTCTGGGATTAAACAGGTGAAGGCTATAATCTGGCTGTATCAGCACAGCGCCAGTTTAGCACATTAGGGTTACATTTATCTAGAGTAAAAAATCTCCTGAAGGCTGTTGTCACTACTCTTTCAGCAAAAAGGGTTCTATATAGTAAATGATTCTTTGGCTTATAACAATATTGAAACCCTTTTTGGTGCTATATAGAACACATTTTAAAAAGGTTGTATAGAACCATCTACAGCACATTCTCCATCAATCTGAAGAAGCCTTTCATGATTCAGATAACCCTTAAATCATGCAAAGGGTTCTTTGAGTGTTCATGGTACTATATGGAACCATTTTCTTGTCTAAAGAACCCTTGAAGAACCATCTTTTTTAAGAGTGTACAGTAATATAACCGGCACCATCAACAGAAATGTCAGGTGTTATTTGGTACTTTGGGTGATGATGGGTCGGTTTGGGTCAGTTTCAGACAGAATTTTGTTGACCTTTTGGACTCAAAAGCTGATGCAGTGAGTTGGGCTGGGCTCAAACAGAAAGTTCCCAGACTTTATTTGAGTTTGGACCACATTTCAGATATTATAGCTCTACCAGTGACGATTCAGAATGGCACTGCTTTGCTTGGGAACCATGCTGTGTTGTTTTTCTGCTTATGCTGTACGACTGTGTTTCTGGATTTCCACTTTCTTCTTCATCTAAATGTTGTGTGTTTGTTTTGTTGTCAGGTATGGGCATTTCTCTGGGATCAATAGGAAAGTGCAGTTGACTTATCTTCCCCATGGACGACCTAAGACTTCCAGTGAAGAGGAAGGTAAATGAGGAATCATTAATAACGTGTGCACTCTGTTTTTGTTGCTATAGATTCATCCAGTGTTCGAGAAACGTTGTGTAATGGGTTTGTAACATGATGCTGTTGTTTATTTGATCTGCAGACACACGTAAGGATGGTCCGTCCTTGCTGCTGGTTTTGAAGTGGGGGGGTGAGCTGACCCCTGCAGGCCGTGTGCAGGCGGAGGAACTAGGCAGAGCTTTCCGCTGCATGTACCCCGGAGGACAAGGTGCAGACTGAGAGCAGGCTGGAGTTTCATCCTGTCCTTCCTCAGGACTTTTACTTTGTTCATACTGGGCCTTCTTACTCCTCTTTCATAGTTCCTTTGTTTGTTTGTTTGTTTCTTTCTTTCTTTCTTTCTTTCTTCCTTTCTTTTTATTTCTGTTTTTGACTTTCCTCACTTTTCTCAATCTTGTTCTTTCTTTCATTCATTCTTTCTATTTCTATTTCTATTTCTATTTCTATTTTCCCAAGTTTATTTCTTTTGTCCTCCATTTTCTGTTTCTTTCTTTCTTTCTTTCTTTCTTTCATTTCTCTCTCCACATTTAATTCTTTCTTCCTTTCTTTTTATTTCAGTTTTCACATTTTTCGTTCTTTGTTTTTCTTTCTTTCTTTTTATTTCAATTTTTCACATTTTATTCTTTCTTTCTTTCTTTCTTTCTTTCTCTCTGTCTCTCTCTTCCCTCCTTTTTTATTCCCCCACCCTCTTGGTTAAGGACGTGCCTCATGTGCTTCTCTCGTGTCCCGTGGAAATCGCTTCACTCATTGTTCTCACGTCTCTCATGCCGCAGCGCTGACTGCCTTTACTGCAACACGGCCAAGATTAGATTGAGTGACACCAAACCCAGAGAGGAGAATGCTTTAGCCTAATGCTTCAGCTTTATGTTCACTTTTCTAGTCCTGTTAACACCCCATATTCCTCTTACTGTAAATACAAAACTCATTAATAAAGTACTGACACATATTCTGATTATTTGCAAATATTGATTATGATCTGAATATTGAGCTTATATCATGTCTTTTCATATTAATTTAATGGCCAGTTTCTTCACAGCAGTCCATAAATGATATACCTGTTTTGTTTTCCTTTTTTGTTTTTTCTTTTTTGTTTTTTTTTTGGTGATACAAAATTAAGCAACACCGTAAATATCACAGTGATCTTAATGTGCCTCAATATGTGCATATTTTTCATATCTTATATGTGTTTTATAGGCATTTTATGCTAATGAGTGTCTTTAACACCAGGGTTCATTTCACTGCTTTGTTTCGCTCTACTTGTGGCTCTTCTCATTGCCAAATGAGACATTTCAGTAACAATGCATGCATAGCAAGATACAGTGGTGTGCAAAAGTGTGGGCACCCCAGTCATATGACCTGCTTCGTTGATTTTTTACGTGAAAATAAGTTTACGCATCCTCTAACAGAAAATACACTTTTTCACATTTTAATGCACAATTTCTGTTCATTTGCTAAATGTAACATATTTGGGGGAAAAAAAAGCATAAAATGTGGCCTGTGCAAAAGTTATGGCACATTTTATTTATGTTCCAGTATGTTAAACCCAGCAAATAAGTAGAAGTTGTGCACTAGAATTTGCAGAAAAATGCCACATTTAAGTTCCCTGTAGAGGACTTGTTCAGTTTTTTTCACTCAGAAACTCAACAAAACATTATCTGACCGGGGTGCCCAAACGTTTGCATGCCACTGTATATCAGTTATCGCAGAAAGGCTAAAGATATTGAGATATACATATTTATGCATGTTGCTCAGCCCTAAAGTGTTGTAGGCAAATTTCTCAGGGTGCAGACGGTACTGCTGGGTCTTTGCATAGATCTTTTACTGAATTATGATTATGGGTTAATGAACTCACTGTAATTTTTAATCAATATAGATTTTTTTTATTAATAGCATTTGTCTTGGCTGATGTCATTTGATCACAAATGGGCAGAAAGTTTTAAATAATTACTATCTGTTATCAAAGTTACACATGTAGGGGTGAGATACAGGAGAGTGATATTCACATTCCCTTTTAAATTCTCTGTGTGTGCTGTAGAACCTCTGCAGTAATTTGTATGATAAGTGGGTTTGTGGTCTAGGTGATGTACTAATGCATGGACAAGACTTGTATTTGTCTGGGTCTTCCTTTAATGTACAACTATGATGTCCTGTTGTTTGTATGTTCAGGAGATTACGCTGGTTTCCCTGGCTGCGGCCTGCTTCGGCTCCACAGCACCTATCGCCATGACCTCAAAATCTATGCCTCTGATGAGGGCAGGGTGCAAATGACAGCAGCTGCTTTTGCCAAGGTACCACTCAAATACCTGCACCGTTCAGATTAACTAAGAAGGGTGTGTGTGTGTGTATAAGGGTGTGTTTGGGTATACTTTGTCTATGTGCAGAGTTGACGGAGGTCATGGTAACTGATCTTTGTGGTGTTCCTGGCAGGGTTTGTTGGCGCTGGAGGGTGAGCTGACACCCATCCTGGTGCAGATGGTAAAGAGTGCCAACATGAACGGCCTGCTGGATAACGACATAGATTCTTTGAGTGGCTGTCAGCACCGCGTCAAGGCCAGGCTTCATGAGATCATGCAGAAAGATCAGCTCTTTCAGTGAGGAAGACTTTGAAAAGGTGAACTTGCTGAAAACCAGGCTCAGACCTGCCAGATGACGTCAACAATCACCAATATAATACATTGCTACTTTAGTTAGCTTTTAAAAATGTTTTCAAGATGTTTTTATTGCGAATACAGCGTTTTATTTGTCAGTCTGCCATTATTTAATATATTAAATAGAAAGCTGTTTCAATTTTGCAGTTTCACTTTGTAAATACTACAAAACTGAACAATTAACAAAATCCCTACCTCTGCGATTATGCTAAGCCCCTCCCATTTTATATCTTTGTTGTGATGTCAGCACTCATCAGTGCTCAAACCTTTCAGGTGTTTAAACCACCTTTTAAAATTAATTTTCATTATTTCACAAGTAATATCCATGTATCACAAGTGGAAATCAAATCTTAAGGCAGATAACTTGTCAAAAAATTAAGGTAACTAGATAATTACGGTATTTTTTATCGCTTAATTCCATTCTTGTTCATAGAATTCTTGAAATATTGAATAAAACATTTAAAAATACGTTTTGGCAAATAGCTAAAAATTGTTGTGGCAAGTGACTCCAAATATTTGCGCTGTAGTATAGCTGTCATGTATTTCATATGTTTTTCCTTACTAAACTGAAAAGTAACAGTGAAGATCAAAGCAAAGTTTCTAAAGAAGCTAAGGTGTCCACAAACTTTTGACAAGCCTTGTTCGTATGTAAAAGATTGTGAATAATTGTGCTGTGTATAGTCCTATCCAGTGTGTTATAAATAGCTAAACAGGATTTACATGTATATTGATTTTATTTTCCTGCTCAGCTTGCTCCAACGTGCAGCACCTCTCTGGTGAACTCTATGAGGGCAGTTGAGAATCCTGTGAGCACATGTGATAAAGTCTACAGTCTCGTCCAGAGCCTCACTTCACAAATCCGCAAGAGACTGGAAGATCCCAAATCTGCAGGTTACTCCCCTGATTTCTTCTGATTGACACATATCCCTTTAATAACAAGCTTAAATACTCCACATTATATGTTCTGCTTTAAAAACACATAGGCCTAAAGCCAGCTAAGGATTACTGTTCAAACTGAACAATAAACTGAACTAAAGAGCTTAGAATGACTCATGAGTGCATGTATGACTATGTGATTTTGGGCAAGTGTGAATGTGCTTGGTTCTTTGACAAGAGCATACATTTCCCATTAGGGGCGATGAAGATCATACTGTTCAGTTCAAATCAGTTTGATTTGAGTCAATTCATTGTTGTTTTTTTTCTACTTATCAGATTTGCAGCTATACCACAGTGAGACTCTAGAGCTGATGCTGCAGCGCTGGTCCAAACTGGAGAGGGACTTCCGCATGAAGAGTGGCCGATACGACATCAGCAAGATCCCAGATATTTATGACTGTGTGAAGTATGACGTGCAGCACAACAGCTCTCTGGGCCTGGAGGACACGCTGGAGCTGTTCACACTGTCCCGAGCTCTGGCTGACATTGTTATACCGCAGGTACACACGCATGTCCAAGCCAGACAGGGTTAAAGTGGTGGCATTGAGCCTCATTCACCAAGCCTTCTTAAGAAGAAATTTCTTACACACACTTTTGCAGTTTTCATGAAGATTCTGACATTTACCAATATTTTCTTATTTGGGATTTGTTCTTGGGTAAGAACAGAATCTATGCACACTCAAAAGCACAAAGGTGCGAACAATTCTGCAGTTCAGGAACACGTCATGAATCTGGCGCAGACTTTTTCTTACATTTTTCTCAATAACAAATTTAAGAAAAAAATGTAGGAAGATAGTAGTGAATAAGGTCTGTTGTTCTTATTAGCTGTGTGTCTTGTAGGAGTGTAAATCTCTGACCTCACAGTCATTTGATTTTATTAAGATTCTTTAGGAAACCATTCAGTGCGTCACAAAATCTTAAATTTCATCATGATTTAATTTTAGTTGATTTCAATCTATTTATTTATTTTTATTAAACACTGAGTTTACAAATGTGATTGTAGACACAATTTACACAGTAGTGAAATATAGGTAGATAACATAGATACAATAGATATGATAACATTTTTTTTAATTTTTTAATTTTTTCAAGTATTTTATTTTGGCCAAAAATTGAGTGCATACTTTATTGAATATTACTTTAATCAGTTATGATGAATTCTAACATTGCAATATCAATGCAGTATAATCACTGCTCACAGATTGGTGCATATTGATGCACTGATGTATTTTTACACCCTAATGCCTTGCGTTTGCAAAATGTACAGACCTGTGGTTATAGTCACTTTTTTATTTTGATAGTCCCCTATGGATTATCTAGAGATGCTCTGTGGATTCTCAACAACGTTAGGGTTGGGATAAGGTTTAGGATTAGATTTACTAATACATATTTAAAGTTTAATTGCATTTAATAAATACTTAGTTGAATGTTAGTTGACATCTTCAGTGAACTCTCCAAAAAAAGTGTCTCTCCAAAGCAAAGTATTTTTGACAGCACTGCACAAACTTTATTATTATTACTATATTTTTAGCTTGTATTCTCTCAAATATGTGTTTTTACTTAAATGTGATTTGCTCATTTTGCTGTATCTGTGCAGGAATATGGCATTAACAAGGTAGAGAAATTGGACATAGCCTATGCCTACTGTCTGCCACTGGTCAGAAAGATCCAGCTGGACCTGCAGAGAACCCACGAGGACGAGTCTGTTAACAAGCTCCATCCATTGTAAGTTTTTCTCTCTCTCTCTCTCTCTCTCTCTCTCTCTCTCTCTCTCTCTAATGGCATAGTCCTCACAGGACTTATGTTAGACAAAAAAAACACAGAGACAGTACATTATCATCCAAAATTGAATTATATATTTTCTTTTTGTGTGGGATGTTCATGCTCAGATATGTCCTCCTGTCACAGGTATTCCCGTGGTGTACTGTCCCCTGGCAGGCACGTGCGGACGCGGCTGTACTTCACCAGCGAAAGTCACGTCCACTCCCTGCTCAGCATCTTCCGTTATGGAGGCCTGCTGGACGTAAGCACTACAACCATCTCGAGATAGAAGCACAGTTAGACTTCATGCATACATGGCTGCCTAACTGACTGAGCTTTTGGCCCATTTGCAGGAGGAGAAGGACCAGCAGTGGAAAAGAGCCATGGACTATCTGAGTGCAGTCTCTGAACTCAACTACATGACTCAGATAGTCATCATGCTGTATGAGGACAACAACAAGGTATGTGGTGTTTTCCCTAAATGCTGCACAACCTCTTCACAACACACTGAGGAAACAGCACTCAGGCTCTCCGCTGGTTCATCTGGTATTCTGTTCAGTGAAATAATTTGCATGATTTATTACTCCAAATGCAGTCAATCTTATGATTTTTGTTATCTGAACTTTTGTACTGGAGCTGCAAGGCCAATGTAGCTAACAAGTTAATTGAGTAATCACAGATATACCTGCTTATGTAGTTTCTGATACTGTAGGACATACTATTATCTCTAAATATGGACAAAAGTACACAAACTCCAGGTGTTCAGATGGCTGCTATGACTGTTTTTAGCTGTGCAACATACTTTTGTCAGCTTCACAGCTTGACACAGTTTAAGGCAAGCATGTGATGATAGCGTTCAGTTTGCACAATGTTAACTGGTGGCCATAGATTTCCATTGCATTTTAACTACATTAGCCTTGTAGTCCCAGCACCAAACTAAAGAAGCAAACTTCAGACACCAGTCATGTCTTGGCCGATTGACTGCATTTAGGTTAAAGGGAGTTACATTTTTCACTGAACTCTTCCTGTTATACAGCATGGGTCAGTGTGATTCCAAAGATGGACTTTAGCTTAAGGCTTAAGTTGTGGATGTACATTGAGAATAAATGGTTGAATTTCTTTTCTTCTTTTTTGTTAATGGAGGACCCCTCATCAGAGGAGCGTTTTCACGTGGAACTGCATTTTAGCCCAGGGGTTAAAGTGTGTGAGGAGGAGAATGCACCGATGGGCTTCGGCTTTCGCCCTGCTTCTTCTGAGGTGAGCTCTTCCTGCACCGTTACTGTGGAATTGTGCTAATATTGAATAATTGTGTTGCACAACATGATTTGTGGATGACATTTTGGTGCTTTAAGTGTGCAAATACGGAAATATGTTAGCGATTTTGCGATAAATAGTGTCACAATATATTTTTCTGAGCACATCATGACTGTCGTCAGTACTAGAATGCCAAACAACTTCATGTACATTAGCGTTTAAAAGCTTGATATCACTAGGCATATTAAAAGTTTGTTAATTTATGTGTAATTATTTATTATACATTGTGGCTTTAAATATTACAAACTATTCCCCAAAAGGTATTTTTGCATGTTTCATTCAGTATGTCACGAATTCTGTTAACAAGAAGTTAATAAATGACAAATTATTTACTGCAAACAATATTTATTTTAATTTTTTTGCCTGCTTTGAGATTTGAGCTTGACTTTTCCAGCAGTCCTACTAATTATTTTAAACCTATAAAGTTGCACTGGACTAACACATTAGAATAATTTTATAGACATATCCACAGCATGTTTCTTTTTATATTATTGAAAATTTGAAAATTTGATTAGTGATTTCAGTCTTTTGAATGCTAATGTATCATTTACATTAATAATTGAATGCTAATGTATCATTTACAAACAGATGTAGACTTATTAAAGGGAGTCTGTAAACAACAACAATGTAAACAATGGTAATTGCATGAACAGCCTAGTAACTCATATTTTAGTAATTATTTTTCATCAGTTTCTTCCTGTTCATTCTTTAATAGTTTATTTTTTTACATATTCAATTAAAATTTTAATGTTCAATTAAATTTTTTTGATGCATTTTGTCTTAAATATCGAGATATTATGCGTTCATATATTGCAATATTAAATTTTCGCTATATCACCTTTAACTGGTGCCTCTGTATTTGCGTGTTTGTGTGTGGTGGTGTTTTTAATTGATTTAGAATGACCAGAAGCAGCCCGACCCTGGCAGCTTGGAGAACCTTGTGCGGGACGAGCCGGACCGGGCCTTGCCTCTGTCCGAATCAGTCAGCACTCAGCGCAGATCCCCTCTGATCCGAAACCGCAAGACTGGTTCCATGGAGGTGCGGCTCAGTGTCCATCATGCAAATCCAGCTTTATCAATCTACTAATGCAAATGTACTCTTATCTGCACTGCTCTATACACTGGCCAGACATGTTTACACTGGCTGTGATACAGTTGCATTGCAACTGCTCTTACACTGACCCTTGACCAGATAGTGATCTATATGATGTCAGGGTGACTGAATTAGACTTGGTTTTACGGGTCTGTGCTTAAGGGTTTATGCGCCTGTGTTTTGTTGCAGGTCCTGTCAGAAAGCGCGTCCTCTAAAGCAGGCAGCCATCGCCTCTTCCCCTCCTGCTCACGTCAGTCTCCAGAGATGAAGCAGAGTGGATTAGGTGGGTATCATGTGTCTTGTTTGTCTCAACCATCCACACTGCCCTGCCTCTCTGTCCCTTCTGTCAAGAAAAACACTGCCTAGATCCAGACGCATAATGACTCCTTCACTGACGTAAAGTAGGTGGAAAAGTGATTAGTCAAAACCCTAAATAGTGTGTAGTACGTCAGTTAGGAAGACATCTCAGACTCAGGAACTGTCTGGGAGATGGGTGGTGTTTTGTCCTTGGTGTGTCCTTGGATCTCTGTAGAGTCCACTGATGTTAACTTGGTTGTTTTTAGTGCTGAACAAATTTCCATATTGCAATTATATTACAACACATTGTGATGTTAAAGCTGACAGTATATTAAAAAGACATAAGTGAATTCTTAATGTGACTTAAGTGGTCAAATATTGCCCCAAGTTAAAGAAACACCCTGGCCAAAATAGAAAAGCTTAACTCTTGGCTACATCTGTTGAAAACATGCTACTCTTATTCTTCAGCAGTGCTGCAGATTAGGAAACACCTCCTGATGATGTGTTTTGAAGATGAAAGGGACTTTTGGAAAACTACAGTTGCCATGGGGTTGATTTTTGGGGACAGGCTTTTTTCTTTTGACTTAGTTTTTGTCCCCAGTTAGCTTGCAAAGGCAGATAGGTAATGTTACGGCTAGGAAGCCAAATATCTTATTGCAGCTGTATAACTGTAGCAATCGTCTTCAAATCATCATCACAGTGGAGATAATGGATTACTCAAACTACACAAATGATTCATCAGATCAGGAGAACAAGTTAAAAGTTTACAGTGTAGCTGGCTGTCTAGATATCTTACCTCAGTTTGGCTCTTTTCTTCGGCTGAAATGGTTAAAATGTGTCTCTGGTGTCCATTTTGTGCTGAATAAAGACATAACTGGTTTTGTTTTTCTTCATGATTATGTGTGATGAGTTACACTAATGCTAGCTGGTTGAATTTGTTGTATGCAGTTAGGATGGGTTGACACCAGAGGGAATTCCAGTGGTTGTATAATGCATGCTGGATAACGTAGTGAGAAAACATTAATGAACTAAAACATAAAAACAGTACAAAATAGTAAATTCTATTAAACCAGACAGGCTGAGGGATATTATGCTGCACTACAGAATACTACGTAACACAGCAAAAAGCACCTTAAACTCTAATTTTAGGCCAGAAAGCCCCTTTAATTTGAAAAATGTGTAACACTTCGTTCATCTAAACACCCACAGAAACACATCTGGAGCATCTGTGATTGGTCAGGATGTTCACAGTAAGAACATTTTAGTGATTTGTTAGAAGCTAATTTATGTCTTTGATAGTGTTGCAAAAGCCAATATTTTGAAAACAATAAAAGCCATATGATGTGTTTTTTTGTCAAAGAAATGATGACACACTTGAGATCCACCATAATAAATGCAGCAGTAGACTTTCACAGCTCCGAGCCATGACAGTTACTGTAGTGCAAGTTATGTGAATGTGATTAATATTAAAGAAATAAGTTAACTGTGTGATTAATACCAAATTAAATATGGACCTGTGATGAACTAGTTTTTCAATCAAGTTAACAAAGTAATAGCATGTTCTCTAGAATGTGAAAGGATGTTTATCAAAGTTTGTAGTGAGAACTAACGTAGTGTAGTGTGTGCAGTACAGAGTGTCTCCATGAATTAATGGCAATAACCATTATTCATGCATAAGGCGTTCACTTTCATGTTTTATATAGACTAAAATGTGGTACTGAGGTTGATGACGGCTAAAACAAACATGAACAGTGTGTTAGATGCCAGTTGGGTTTGGCCTTTGTCTAAATTGCTCTGCCCATACCTGTAGACTGTATTGTCCTTTTGTAGGTTGTTACATAAACCAGCAATGTGAAATAATGTTTATCATCTGTAGTTGTATGTTTTGTTCATCTAAATACCTTTTTAAATTGCTCATAAAGCCTTTTTTTTAATATGCTTTAATATGAGGTGCTTTAATATGAGGTGCTTTAATTACCCACTTACTTTCATGGTAATTGATGCTGTATGTAAAGCTAAATCTGAATAACAGCATGTGTTTGTAGTGAGAACTAATGTAGTGCTCTAACCCCCCTCCACAGGCTCTCAATGTGCAGGGCTCTTCAGCACCACTGTCCTCGGGGGGTCCTCTAGTGCCCCCAACCTGCAGGACTACGCCCGCACACACCGCAAAAAATTCTCCTCGGGCAGTCTGACCTATAAAGACGGTATGTGCTCCGATGAGCTATTCTATTTTTCCCCAAGAGTCAGTGAGGGAGTGCTGTGGTTAGAGACTCTTAGGTCAGGGCACTTCCATCTTAAGCCTAGTTAAAAGAGAAGCTCAGCTGTAGTGTTAATGCTAATGTTGCTGACTGTGATTTTAAGCCTGTAGCCACTAGTTTTTAGCATGGTGTTGTTTTCATAATGCTAATTGGTGGCTGTTTGCTTTCATTTATTGTTAGCAACATTACCTGTATTGACTGGATGATCCCTGTAAGAGGGAACTGTAAAGAAATTGTTTTTAGTAGGGAGATAGTCCTCATCATATCACAAAGTCTCCGTTTCCTGCTCACATGAAATGTGTAGGGTCATCTTGTTGTCATGGTCTCTTCATTATTGTCCTTTGTTTAGCAGCTCATGGAATCTGTGCACTCGCCATTCATTGTCTTGGCATGTTCGTGTCTTCAGTGTACACTGATTCATCCCAGCATTTTCACTTTATATTTCTTTGTCCAATGTTGCTGTTACAATACAAGGGTTACTTAATTATAGGGAAAATCCGCCAATTTTTCAAAATTACTTGTTAATTCAGTAAATGAGATGTAAAAAAAAAAAGGGTAATTTAGTGTGGTCTGATGTGAAATCCAGTTCCTTTACAGTGGTGATGATAGGAACCAGGGGTTGCAGTGTCTACAATGCAAATATATTTTATTTGTTATTCAACACAACCATTGCATGTATGTGTGATCTGAATTGTTATGTGTAAAAAGTTCTCGTTGGGTACGACTTTGCTGTACAACAAACTGCACATAAATGTATTTTAAAAATTGTGTTTTAATCCAAAAGCTTATCAAACTGTGTTTCAGGCATCAGGCAGCATATTCGTAACCCTATCATGTAATAGCTTTCTGGAAGGGAGCGTCAGATGTCTGGTTCCCATCATCACCACTATGAACAGTTTTGATTCAGTAAGTTTTTCTAGAACTGAGCATTTCACATCAAAACATTCTGAAAGACTTTATATTTTAACAGTTCAATTCTGCGTCCTAATTTTGAAAAATCTGTGGACTTCCCCTTTAAATAGCAAGTCACGTCATGTAAGTTCATACTTATCCTCTGGCTTCTACTTTATAGTTAAAGAAATACTTCAGTATTTTTGGACCTAGTCTTTATCTGCAGCATCTGTGGCATACGGTCGTTTATATACATATGTGTCCTTTGGTTGGGCGCCCCTGGTGAAATGACGTTTTGTTGATTTTCTCTATGAACATAAGTACTCCTTCTCTACAGAGAACTGAATTATGTACTGAATTTATCATACTGGGGAGAAAAAAATAAAGCATAAAATGTGGCCTGTGCCTGTTTTGTGTTATACTTGTCTCCAATGTGTTAAACTCTGTATTTACATTTACAAAACGTGTTCTCTGTAGAGGATGTGTTAACTTTTTGCATATAAAAAAATCAACAGAACATGTAATTTGACCCAGGGCCTATGTGTGATCAGTTAATATTTGAAATAGAAACAAATTATGGAAATCAAAACTTGGATTTGCCATGATAAGTGAACACGTACGGTGTGCTTTTGTTGGCCTAGTTAGGTTAGTTATAGTATGCTAACTCTAACCAATTGTAGGGTTTTTTTGTTCTCTTTTTCTCAGTATGAGATAAAAATAGTTAAAATTGTAAGTTTATAAACTTTAGCAGGGTAAGCTCATAAAACAAAATATTAATTATTAATGTCTGAAACTTAAAGCGTTCAAATTGCAACATTAAATAAAGTGAATAGACTATAAAAAAAACATAATATAACCAAATGATTATGTCTGAAACTACATAGGTACAAATTATTAATAGACTATATGCGATTACAGACAGCTTAGAGCGCACCCCCATTTGTTTCTAATGCAGCCTCATTGATATTGGTCTTGAACCGGACCTGAATGACCCCCTTTTGATTTCTACAGACTTTCTCCTGCAGTCAGGATCCTCTTCCTCTTTTCCAAGAAATGAAATTCTTCACCCTGAAACCACATTTAGGTAGATAAGGTTGCCTTTTCACAGAGTGGTGACATTTGAAGTAGAGCAGTCCTTCCAGAATGTTCCTAGGCTGCCCGTTGTGGAGAGCTCGATTGTCCACAAGGTGGCAGCGTGACTCTATGAGGGGCCATTTCTCCCTGCTGCCATTTTCCAAGCAGTGTTTTGTGTGCTGTAGTGTTACTGTACCTATAATGTCTGTGCTCTCACTTCTCTCACATGTCCACATATTTGATGTTCATTCAAGTCTGTGATGAATCTCTATTCCAGTGTAAACCTAAATAATCTAGTGTACTTAATTTTTAGCCCCCCAGTTCTCACTGTAGTCTATCTGTGGTCTCTACAGGCATCTCCTGTTGCACTTTTAGTGTTACCGTGACTATTATGTTGACTGTATGTGTGTGTTTGTGTGTGTGTGAGGGGAAAAATGATAGATCTCACTCTCAGGATGTTGTTCAAGTCCGTCCACCATTTTGTCCTCAGAAAGAGATGCCATCTCATAAGATGGTGTCTCACTGTACCATAGGGAAGTGCCCTGAGGCAGAATTTTTAGGAAAAACAGCCAGCTACATTATTCTCACCACGTTTTAGTCGCAGTCAGGATATTGAAGATTAAAACAGGCACTGAGCTGAGAGGTACCCGGGACACTGCACCACAGGAGTAGCTTACTTGTTCCTTTCAAAGAATATATGCACAGATTATTAAACGGATATAAATTACAGCATTATGTCTCATTTTTGTGTGGTTTGGGACTGATACCTGCTTTAGCAGGATAAATACAAAACTGTATAAAAATCAGAGACCAAACTCGCTTCATTCAATGTCCAGTCAAAACTTCCATTAAGTTTTGTTTTTTTCTGTGTACAAGTTATTCATTTTTCAATGTCTGGGGAAAAAGCAAGAAGCGTACAGTACTGTGCAAACATTCAGCACCTAAACACGTTATTTAAACCCATTCATCTGGTCAAGAAGTGTGTTTGTAACAACGCATAACGTTAAAATAAATGCACAAAACATAAGTATAGATAAAAATAGTAGAAACAGGATTTGTAGTAGTAGTATTTAACATCTTGTGAGCCAGTTTGAAGAACAAAGTTTGATTCCACTTTCTCTTTAAAGCCCCCAGCCATCACATAGATCACCAGTACCCTTGATTTAACATTCTGAAGCACTGATTAGCCAAACCTAGTGTTGGATGATCACTATAAATGATAATGGACAGCCATGAAGGGAGTGGTTAAACATTAACATACACAAAAAAATCATTACTTATTGTATTAAAGGGGAATTCCATAGTTTCATTTTCATTCTCTACATAATTTAATCATTGAACTGACTCAGATGTCTTTACAGTGGTGTTAATAGGAACCACCAGTGAATCTACTCTTGCCTTCAGAGTTTTCATATGTTTTATATCCGTCCTGTACATCACCCTGCCAAAACATACATTGGGTTTTAAACATACATTTTAGGCCACAATCTTATCTCCAAACTATTGTAAAAACGTGTCTCAGTCATCAGGCAGCATATTTGAAATGTTTTAGAAGCATTAAACTTATCAGACGTCTGGTTCCTATCACCATGACTGTGAGCAATATGTGACGCAGTAAGTTTCTCTAGAACAGCACATTTCACAGCAAAGTCTGAATGACTTTGTTTATGCGATAAGGATTAAATTATGCTGAAACTTTGAAAAACTGGTATAATCGCCTGGTGGAAAATAGGCAATAGATTATACACTGTAATAATACACAGATTACATTGTTAAACTTCCAAAATGTATCATTCACTATCCAGTCCATACGATCCATAAATGGAAACTAAGCTTTAAAAACAGCTCGTTTTGAGTTCATTGTTTCTGTGATGTCACGAGAACCAACTCATTTACATACACCCACCTATTCAGCCTACAGCAGTTTAGCTCTGCCCATACTGAAGTTCTAAGGAGTGTTTCAGCTCTGAGTACTTTTTGAATGAGACACAATACAATCTATTTAATTCTAAGTGATAAAAGAAGTTGAACATGGTAATGTAAAAATAAATTATGACCACACACATTTTATACAATAAAATAAGATGGGCCCTTAACATGAATTATGTAGCTACTTTTTGCATTTTTTAAATTATCTGTGCATTTATTTTTTGAAAATAATAGTGGGACAAAAGTTGACTCTTTTGGTAGAAAGTCTCAGTTGTATTTTCCACATTGTTCAGTATTTACCTTACGTTTTGTTTAATATGTAACATGGGCTGGATCTGCAAACAGTGCAGATCTATGTATGAAAAATGACGTTCAGTTACCTAGAACATGTGTTCACTTACTTTTGCAAGTGTGTTTGTAAGGCAGCTGCACACTTTAGCTTGTAAATCACACTGAATACTTTTCTAAAAGCTGCTTTTCTTGCTAACTCCCAGTGTCCCTCTAACCATATTTTGCTATAGGTACAACAGTAGCATAGACACCCTCAATCAACTGCAGCACTGTCCTGTCTAATGCCCCTGAATGTCTCTCACCTTGACCCCTTCCAGATAAACAGTCCCCTCCCCCCTGTCCTCTACAGGTGCACTGCGAAAGATGGTAACACCAGTGACCTTTTTTATTTCCTCAGAGTTGTTGTCTATGCCGGCAGTAAAGCGATTTTCTGTGTCGTTTGCAAAGCATCCGACTAATGGTACGTCTGCTTCTCTTCAAGTATATTTCCACTTTTCTCCACCTCCTTTGTCTTGCATGTCTATGGAAAAAACGTCCTTTTAATTTCTCTAGTGTTTCTCTCAGTTTTCAGTTTAACATGGTCACCACCATGTTTCCTCCAAACCCCACCAGTTCTTTCTTCCTGTCTGCCCATTCATCTGGACGCTAGCTCTAACACCACTCTCACATTCTGTTTTGTAACGTCCTGCGTAAGACTGTCACTCTCACCTAATGACTCGGTGTTGATAAGTTTCTGTTGTATTTCTTTTTTAATTTCTAAGACAACAGTATTGTACATTTCTCGGGAAATGTGAGAGTGTTTGGATATGTGTGGGCGTGTGTTGGTCAGAGCATGCATGCATACGTGTTTGGGGGGGGGTATTGTTGGTGAGTCTGTTGGGATATGAATTTGTGACATTGTGAATTTGATCCACAGCTGGTCTACACTCTAATGAACACTTCCCCCACCATCATTATATTTAGGTTATTATCATGCTACTGTTATTGTAAAATATATATATATATATATATATATATATATTTTTATATATATATATATATATATATATATATATGTATATATATATATATATATATATATATAAAATTATATATATATTTATATATATATGTGTATGTGTGTGTGTGCGTGTGTGTGTATATATATATGTGTGTGTGTGTGTGTGTATGTGTGGTGTGTGTGTGTGTGTGTGTATGTAATTTTTAACTATTTGCAAAAGATAGTTTTTCACAGATACTGTATGTTAGGGTCGGAGCGATGCACAGTGCTGTGAAAAAATATTTGCCCCTCCCCATTTCCTCCAGTTCTGCATATTTGTCACACTTAATGGTTTGTTCCCAATGCAAAATGTAATAGAAAACAGAGAACATGAGAACACAAACCCCACTTTTTAAATGATAATTGCATTTATTGAAGTAAAAATGTTTTGCAACACCTGTATCACCTGTGTGAATCAAAATTTAATTAGTGGTTGTGCTACTTTAGCAGCCTCAAATGCAGCCAAACCTGATGATGTGAGGAGCATCGTTCAGGATTTCATGGTTTGATTTGTAGTTCTTTTAAGGGCCCTTATAATTTAAGAGAAAACAAATTATTCTCATTATTCTTAAATTATTATTGTTTTGTTTTTTTTTTTATATAAAAGTTATTTTTTAGTATGTAACAAACATTGTTAAAGTTTTAAAATGTTTGTAAAAATAAAGTAAATATTTATGTAGAAATAATAACTGAAATAACTGTTATATATAGAAATAACTGGTTTTTGATATCATGAAAATGGGCTTACACTTATCCACCCATTCAGCCTACAGCAGTTGGAAACATGACCATGTAAAATGTAAAACTTATTTTTTGTATTAAAACCACACAAAAGTGGATCCCTGGGGGGAAAAAATAAAATACAAGAGAAATGTAGAATATAGGCCCTTTAAATACTGTATTGATGATTAACATTTTCAGATGAGTTGTGCTCTAAAATATACGCTTCATCAAAATAACTTACTAACAGTGCTGCTCAACATGTGAATACATTGTAATTTTTTTCAGCTGTGGTTGAGCGTTCTCCCCAGTGAATAATCAGTCTAGAATCAGGGGGGTTTCGTACAGAGTGCACTATGACACTACTGGCTTTTTGAATATATGTTTGTGTTAGTAATCACAATCAGTCTGTCAGTCAGAGTAATCCATTTATAGCGCAACTGGGGAATACTATTTTAGAAGTATATAGAAGATTTTTAATAGGGAAAGGGTTAACCCATCATTTTTACCCACATCACTGTGTTATCTTTATTATTATAATACATTTTTTTGGTAATTAACCTTTCTTTTGTGTGATATTTGTGATGTTACTGTTATGGGGGTATAACTATTTGATGGTCTTGTGCTTTAAAAGGCCACAAAAGACTCTTCAGAGAACTCAAAATAATTATTATTGTTATTGTTATTAAACCCCTCAATGTATTACAACCCCTTTTCCAAAAAAGTTGGGACACTGTAAAGAATGCAATGATGTGGAAGTCATTTAAACCCTATACGTAATTGAAAAATTGAAAATAGTACAAAGACAACATATCAAATGTTGAAACTGAGACTTTTGTTGTTCTTAAAAAAAAAGTATATTTTGAATTTGACGACAGCAACATGTTGCAAAAAAGTTGGGACAAGCCAGGAAAAGACTAATAAAGTTGTGTAATGCTAAAAAAACACCTGGTGGAACATCACAACTAATTAGGTTAATTGGCAATAGTTCAGTCACATGCTAAGGTATTAAAAAAAGCATCCCAGAGAGGCTGAGTCTTTCAGAAGTAAATATGCAGAGAGGTTCACCACTCTGTGAAAGACTGCATAGTTAAATAGTGCAACAATTCAAGAATAATGTTTCTTAACGTAAAATAGCAAAGAACTTGAGGATTTCGTCATCTTTGGTACATAATATCAATAAAAATTCAATCTAGAGAAATCTCTGTATGCAAGGGGCAAGACCAAAAAAATATTGTCTGGCTGTGATCTCTGGGCCCTCAGGCAGCACTGTATTAAAAACAGACATGATTCTGTAGTGAAAATCACTGCATGGGCTCAGGAACACTTCTGAAAACCACTGTCTGTGAGCACAGTTTATCGCTGCATCCAAAAATGCAAGTTAAAACTCTACCATGCAAAGAAGAAACCATATATAAACAGGATCCAGAAATGCTGCCACCTTTTCTGGGCCCAAGTGGAAAAGTGTCCTGTGGTCATGAATCAAAATTTGAAATGCTTTTTGGAAATCATAGATGCTGCGTCCTTTGGGCTAAAGAGGAGAGGGATCATCCGGCTTGTTATCAGCACACAGTTCAAAAGCCACCCTTCATGATGATATGGGGGTGCTTTAGTGCACATGGCATGAGTGCTGCCATCCAGACAACGTCTTTTTCAGGAAAGGCCTTGCTCATTTCAGCAAGACAACGCCAAACCACATTCAACACATGTATTACAAAAGCATTGCTCAGTATTAAAAGAGTCCGGATGCTAAACTGGCCTGCCTGAAGTCCAGGCCTGTCACCCATTGAAAAGATCTGGAGCATTATGAAATGAAAAAATAGACAAAGGAGACCCCGAAATGTTGATCAGATCAAATCCTAAATCATAAGAAAACATTTCACTTTCAGAACCGCAGCAGTGTCTCCTCAGTTCCCAAACACTTACAGACTTTGTTAAAAGAAGATGTGATGCAACATAGTGGTAAACATGCCTCCGTCCCAGCTTTTTTGAAATGTGTTGCTGGCATCAAATTCTAAATGAGCGTATATTTAAAAAAAAACAGTAACATTTCTCAGTTTTAACATTTGATGTGTTGTCTGAACTCTGTTTTTATTTACATTTTGCGCAGCATCCCAACTTTTTCATAAACAAGGTTGTATGAAAAATGAAAAATTAAACTGTTACATAATATTAGCCATAGCAGTAGGCTATGTTTGTTATTTATCTGAAGTCAGTTATATAGTATATTCAGGCCTGGCTTTTTTCTACACTTTCATGTCTTTTGAGGCTTTTAATCCATTATTAGGGTTCAAGCATGCAATGCATTGAACCCTATTGGAATTGTGAGGATTTTTCTTATTATTATTATTATTATTATTTTTCTGCCCTGAAACGGAACGCACAGCCCAAACCGTCAGTCCTAGAGACACCAAACTTGGTCAATAGGTAGTAGTCCCTCCCGCTACTCAGGCGCAAGGAATTAGCCCAGTTGGCCACAAGGGGGCGCTACAGCGCAGGCCAACGCGTTTGGGTCTATATCTCCTAAACCAGATTTTTGCCAGACAAGGCATATTTTTTTCCTGGTTCTATGGGTCCAAATAAACCTTTTGGCTATTTTGATTATTTAGCTCCGCCCACTTAGATTTTTCGCAATACTGTGAAATATGCGAAACCTACTTTTGTGAACTAGTCCTACAATTTTTGACCAATCCTCATCTATTTGGTGTCAAAAAATTCAGAAGAGCCTCAAGGTCAATAATTATCAAAAACATTTTGAGTTTTCTATACAGCATGGCTGCCATATGCAAATGAACCCTTCTGGATAAATTCAAAATAATTCAGAATTAATTGAAAAATCTCTAACTCAAGAATCCTTCAGCCAAAAAATTTCAAACTTCACAGGCCATGTCACTAGCCCATTCTGAGGTAGCCATTCGATTTTTGTGCGCATAAGTAATTAGGGGGCGGAGCAACAAAAACAGGACATTTTCTCTGCAGCCGTACATCCGATCAAGCTGAAACTTGGCATGCATCATCCACTCGCCATTCTACAAGTGTACTTATAAGGACATTTGGATACATCGAAATTTGTGGTCGCCATCGGCCAATAAGCATTCAGCAGGCCATTTGACAGGCTTAACATTGACCAATCATGACGAAACTTGACTGGTGTCTATATGTAGCCAGTTTCTAACAACCAGTCGAGTTTCAAAAGATTTGACCACTGGAGGGCGCTATTTCAAAAAATTACATATTATTACATATTATTACAATATTATTACAATTTTCACCTACAACCTATTGTACTACCATGTGACAAACAATTTTGCCTATACATGTTTATTAAAAATCTGTATCGTTTTTTTGTAATAGATAAATGTTTCAAAACCCTACTTTTCGAACTAGTCTCTGGATTTTGATCCAATTTTGTCAAAGTTTGTCTAGAACAATTCTGTGGCATCTCTATGTAAATAATTATCAAAAACATTTTGACTTTTCTACTCAGGGTCATGTGGATTAATCACCAAATTCCTGCATATGTGGCATTGTTAGCTTGGTTAGCTATAACTCATCAGTCATTGATCAGATCATGTTGAAACTTTGAGTATTTATACAAATTGAGATTCTAATGGAGCACACCAAGTTTGGTCCAGATTGGCCTTTGGGGGTGCTTCAGCACTCAAAAACACTGAAAAATCAATAAAAATGCTATTACAATG